AGTACTTCAGTTTCCCCTGCCAATCTTCATTCCACCAATTGCTCCACAATCACCCTCACCTATCATCTGGGGCTGGTACAATAGGCCAGAAGTGGCCGCAGTACAAGGGACTTAGTCCCACCCCACTAGCAATAAAAAAAATCATGCAAATTTAGCTTTGTATAGTGAATTAAGGGAAATGCCTATTTGAGAACTTTACACAGTGACTTAAAATGAAATTGGACTGCAGTTCCGCAGAATGGGTATTAATATGAGGACAGCAAATCCTGTATTTATTAAATTAACAGTTTCTTTACAGTCTCAGACTAATGCGGACTTCCATTAATGTTTAGAGTCACTAGGTCCAATACTGCCTTTCTGATGCCACAGAATGGATGGGCAATGGGATTAGAATGAAATGATGAATTTGAAGGCATAGGGATGTGAATGTGAACCTGACCAGACATGGAGTGGAGGAAATACTAGTGTCTGCCGTGTTCTTCCTTTCTCTAACACATCCCACAATAGGAATTTCATGTAGAGGTATGGAAACCATATGCCCCAGCTATCTCTGGCTATACTTCCACCTTTTCTTCTAATGATCAATTTTTATTCATTTTCTATACATTTTCAGCTGCTGAATTTACACTGGGTTACTCCTAGTGAAATGTCAAATTCACTTCCTGTTTGAACCCATGTATACCTTAGATTGAAGTCTTCTGGGTTGACACTGTATAGCCTACTAGGTGAACACCAACGTTTCAGAGGAACAGCCTGCCTCCTTCATCATTGTTGAAATAACCCTGATGATTGAGGCAGCATTTCCTCCAAAACAATCATATCCACCTAAAATACTACATGTTGTCACAGACCAGAAGATCATATTTTGAACACTCACTGCAGTGAGAGCACAAAAAACTTGTACTTACATCCTGATAGTGAGAATTTTGCATGTGCCATTGATCTGGGAGCATGCAAATAGCATTAACAGACTGAAGTATGTTGTTATTCCAAGACATTTAAATATAAAAACAATGCAGACAGTGCTACACACACAAACCATGAAATTGCCATATACTGTTCAGTCTTCACTCAGCACATATCAACTACTGGCAACTATCTCATCTCTTGGAAAAGTTCTAACAAACAATATCCATGAAGAAAGCAGTCTTCTAGGATGTGGCACCGTGCAGGTGTGATGTTAACTGACATTTCAGACAGCTTGTACCAGTTCTCACGGTCTCTTCGCTTGCGGATTTCTTATTTTTCCTTCTACCCTGAAGATGGAGGCGATACATTCCTCCGAAACGTCGGTTAACATCACATCTGCACGGTGCCACATCTGAGAAGACTGCTTTCTTTATAGTCACCACTGTGAAAACCTCAAATCTTACGAACAATATCCAGTTTTCAGCAACACATAGAAGTTAACTGTCATGCATTGCTCAATGGTGTTCAATTACTTTCGGAAAAGTCAGCAACTATGCTGAGCCACATACTGCTGCAAAAAAGGTTTCTCATCTAAATGTACCTCAATGCAAAATACAGTTTCAAAATGCACATGTTCAAATATTCCTACTTAAAGCAATAAGAACTGTTTGAAATGGCAATATTGCCATGTCATTAAACAAGTGAACTCACAGAAGTGTTTAATATATCTGTAACACAGCTCTGTCTTACCTGTGATGCACTTCTGCCTGAACCAGTTCCGTACCAGCCAAATGGTGGATTGGCTGCAGAATGTTGGTAAACACATTTGATCGTCTGTTAACTGGTTCAGCTGGAACACCACAGAGTAATGGGACTATCAGAGTACAAACCTTACAATACTATTCTACAAAACAGACAGCAGCAGCATGCATTAACCCTTTTAAATGCCAAGGTTCGATTCCACCTGCAGCCCCCTATAATTTATTTCTTGAAAAATCTAGATCGAAGAGGGATGAAGTGACATGAGGTTGGAGAAAACTGCGTAATGAGCTTCATAACTTGTACTCTTCTCCAAGTATAATTAGAATAATGAAGTCAAGGAGGATGAGGTGGGCAGGGCATGTAGCATGAATGGGGGAGATGAGGAATGCATATAGGATATTGGTGGGAAAGCTGGGAGGAAAGAGACCACTAGGAAGACCAAGACGATGGTGGATGGTCAATATTAAAATGGATCTTAGAGAGATAGGATGGGATAGTATGGATTGGATTAAATTTATCTGGCTCAGGATAGGGGCCAGTGGATGGCTCTTGTGAACGCGGTGATGAACCTTTCCATAAAATGCTGGGAAGTTCTTGAGTAGCTGCACAATTGGCAGCTTCTCAAGAAGGACTCAGCTCCATGAGTAAGTAAGTAAAAGTTCATTATTGTGCTCATAAGTGCCCTCCATTGGTTCCTATCCTTAGCCAGATCAATTCAGTCCATACCACCCAATCCCATCTCTCTAAAGTCCATTTTCATATATTATCCACCCACCTATGTTTTGGCCCTCCTAGCGGTCCCTTTCCTTCTGGCTTTCCCACCAATATTCTATACACATTCCTCTTCTCCCCCATTCGTGCTACATTCCCTGCCCATCTCATCCTCCTTGACTTTGTCATTCTAAAAAGAGTTATCTACTGTTGAAATACTAAGAGTTGACTCCCAGAGTTGTCAGACAGTAAAATACGATGGGGAGTCATAATGTTTTAATTATCACCATGAGAAAATTGTTATTCCAAAATTCGTTCTATATAGGAGACAGCCCATCTCCTGAGCTTGCCAAACAGTCAAATTTTCTTGCACCAAGTGGGCAGAGGGAGCCAATGGAAGGGGCAGAAGCAAAATGGTGATGTCAGTTGAGAAAATGGAGGCTCACGCTGTGATACGGTTCCTGCATTTGCAAGGGAAGTCGGCCAGGGAGATCCATGATCAGATGACCATTGTGCATCAGGAAGGTGTACCATCATATGACACAGTGGTCAGGTGGAAGAGGCACTTTCCTTGTGGACAGATAAACCTCGAAGATTAAGCCCAAAGTGGAAGATAATCTCTCGCTGAGGAACCGGGAATTGTGGCATAGGTGGAAGCTTTTATCCTATCCAATTGGTGCATAACTATTGAAGATATTGTTCATGAGGTCCACATTATGCATGGATCAGTTTCAACATCATCCATGACGAGTTACACATGACAAAGGTCACTGCGTGTTGGGTGCCACGATTGTTGACACCATTTCAAAAACAGCAACGGATGAATGTGGCAAAGAAACTTTTGCAGGTGTGCCATGATGAGAAGGTGGAATTTTTCGACCACCTGATCACGATGGATGAATGTTGGGTCTATCATTATGACCCTGAAACAAAGGAAATGAGGAAGCAGTGGAAACATGCAGATTCGCCACCACTGAAGAATACCAAATCCCAGCCATCGTCAGGAAAGGTGATATTGAGGGTGTTCAGGGATCGGCGGGGTGTCATCATGACCAACTATGAGCGAAAGGGTGTCACCATCACTGGCGAGTACTACCAGAACCTTCTGGAAAAATTACAAGATGAAATCAAGAAAAAGCGACATGGAATGCTGCGAAAAGGTGTATGACTTCTTCACAACACACCAGCTCATGCTGCTCATGCTACGATGATACTTGCTGCCAGTTTTGGTTATGAAATTCTCCACCATCCACCATATTCACCAGACCTGGCACCGAGCAACTTCTTCCTCTTTGCATGGCTAAAGAAGCCACTATGTGGTAAGCGATTCCAAGATGATGATGACATCATTTCTACAGTGAAGAACTTCCTAAACAGTCAAAATGAGACCTATCATCAAAGTATCCAGCAGCTAATGCACTGCTGGGGAAAATGTGTGGCCTTCCAGGGGGCATATGTAGAGGACTAACTCACATACAATTTCTTGCACCTATGTCTCTGTTTCTTCTGGGTGATAATTAAAATTTTATGACTTCCCCATATATGTTCACAAGTCCCATGAGACTTGGAACCAAAAACAGCTCCAGTTTTGGAAACTTTGTGTACTTCAGTGTGGTTCAGGAGACTGGATGATGGACAAAGTCCAAAACCCCCATTAATCGCGAGTGTTATACACCACCGTAAGAACCCTTTAGCATCAACCATACTTGATCTATCATGGTTTCACTGTACCTTGAAAACGTGTGTCAGTGATGAGTATTTCTTGGGAGATGAGGTCAATATCACGCGACTGATTGCTGTATGTTTCAACCATGAGTCGTGACTTTATGAAATTTATGCAGGCCAGAGATGATTCACAACCATCAAAAGCAACACCATGACTCAACTGCAGCTTCAAGGTCACATCCACAAGGTCAAGATGAACTGACGTCAGTGTCCACACTCTGTCACTAACACTCTGCTGCTGCAAAAAAAGGGAAGTCATGTGATAAGAGTTTATACTGTACTGATTACTCTAACAGTATGTGCGTATGATATAGAATGCAACACTCATTCAACCAAAAGGTTCATTATTGTGATCACAAACACCAGTGGACCTCAGTTCACATCCTCACATTTCCCTAATATTCACTTCAACTGGACAACGTAATTTGCCAAATTGTCATCCAAATAGAAAATACAGGGTGTTTCACGACTTCACCACAGCACCTGCTAAGCCTTTCCCAGCCTGCTGGATCTTATCCAGGAATTCCCTAGCGATGGCTTCTAACAGCGGAGATTCTTCAGCTTCATGTGCTCAGGTTCTATCTTCACAGGCTCCCATGCAGTACTAACAAGTGATTTTGTCCTTTGCTTATAACATCTCAGTGCAAACCACGTAGAAACACCTTGTCTCCAACAGTAACTCTATCACTGTGCGTGTATTTGTTGCTGTGGGAAAATGTTTACCAAGCCATTGCCCAGAAATGGTCATTCTTTACAGAGCCATCGCTTAGCAACTGGTCTATATCCCACAATATCATGATAATATGTAACCCAGCCAATTATTTCTTTATGTAACATTACATTAAGCAGCACCAAAGTACAGCCTCACTGGCTGTCAGCAACAGGTATCTTTTTAGTTCTTCTCATGGGATGAGACTGAGCCCAATCGGTACTGTGGCCACTGCTTGGCCTAGTGTACCACCCCACAGTGATGGATGATAATGACAATGGAGCAAATAGTGGAATGCAAATTGGTAAGGGAAACTGAAGTACTTGGAGAAAACCTCCCCCAGTGCCACTTTGTCCACCATAAATCCCATATGACCTGACGTAGACCGCCACAGTGTGGGAAGACGGTGACTAACCGCCTGAGCTATGGCATGGCCCAAGCAGTTCCATCATGCACTTTTGGCATAATGTAGTTCCTTAAGTGCAAGCACGTATGTCTGATGAGGTTGAAACTTAATCAGTCTTGTGTCTATGTGCAGAGAACTCTGCTTCCTTATGCCAAGCACCCTACAGTTCGCGAGTGCTGATCAGTACCATGCCTGATCATCTCTGGAATATTTTTTCTTTCCAGTGACCACATTCCTTTCGGATTGTTACTTTCTGTTGTGAACTCAACTCATGATTATTACTTTCTGACAAGTTTCAATATATTGTAGTCTGTAGACCCATTATTGGGTAACAAACAATGAAACAACACCTGCTGCTAGATGACAGATTAATAACAAGAAGATCTATGCAGCTGTTGCTGACTAATGGCTTGGAAAACAATCATGTTCCCATGGAAACGACTGAACTACAGCAGAGGAATGGTGTTTTATATGTGGTCTGTGCTAAGATGTTATAACCAAGATAAGTTTAGAAGTTAGTCAGTTGTAAGGGAGTCTGTGAAGAGAAGACTTAGTTGGTGCAGTTGGGAGTTGTGGGATGTTCGCTGGACAGTAACGATCAGAGAGCAGAAGCTGAAGAATCTCCACTGTTAGAAGCCGTTACCAGCAATCGAATGATGAAGACACAGTATACTGAAAAGACTTAGCATGTGCTGTAATGATTTGTAAAGTGAGGAGATCAGCGATGGCGCTATAATTAAGTGTAGTAATGAGTAATGTGTTAAACTTACTGTTTAATTTCACCTCAGTGCAACAGAACCCTACGTGCTCTGCACTACACAGGATGGGTGATGAATTAACATATAATAATAATCCAATATACTATCTGTCTCGTGCCTTTAACAATTCATTTCCAAATATAAATCTCAAATTCTCAACAAGGAAGGAAATTGAAAACATTATTAAATCCCTTAAGCCCAAAAATTCACATGGATATGATGAAATCTCTACCAAATTACTTAAAGCAAGCTCTGTTTACATCAGTTCACCCTTGAATCATCTATGTAATAAATCTTTATCATCAGGTACTTTTCCTCAACGCTTAAAATACGCTATAATGAAACCACTTTTTAAAAAAGGAGAGAGAAAATGCATCTCTAATTACAGACCAATATCCATATTGACTTCATTCTCAAAAGTCTTTGAAAAAGTTATGTATAATAGACTACTTGAACACTTAAATTCTAACAACATATTAGTCAAAGAGCAATTTGGATTTAGGAAAGACCTAACAACAGAAAAAGCAACCTATGAACTAACTAACGATATTTTAAGTGCTCTCAATGACAGATTAATTGTGGGAGGGATTTTCTGTGATCTAGCAAAAGCTTTCGATTGTGTTAATCATGATATCTTACTATCGAAATTAAATTTCTATGGAATAACTGGCAAAGCTAATGAATGGATCAAATCATACCTCAAAAACAGGTATCAAAGAGTTGAAATAAATAATAAAAACTCCAGTCATAATGCATTTTCAAACTGGGGAATTATAAAGCACGGTGTTCCACAAGGATCAATTTTAGGTCCCTTACTTTTTCTTCTCTACATAAATGATCTATCTAAAACCATCAACAATAAATCTAAACCAATTCTATATGCAGATGACACTAGTATAATATTTAAGAACTCTAAATTTGAAAACTTTAAAAATGACATAAATATTGTATTTGAAGCCTTAAACAGATGGTTCGAAGCCAATTTACTCTCATTAAATTTTGATAAAACCCATTACATATCATTCACAACTAAAAACAACCACCAAATTGATCTGGACATCAGTTATGCCAACAAATTAATCTGTAAAGTACTTGATACAAAATTCCTTGGAATACATGTAGACAGTACACTGTCTTGGAAAATACATATTGAACAAATTATACCTAAATTAAATGCAGCTTGCTATGCGATGAGATCAATTAAGCCTTTTATGTCACAGGAAACATTGAAGATGGTTTACCATGCCTACTTTCATTCTATTATGAACTATGGATTAATATTTTGGGGGAACTCTTCACATAGTGTAATAATTTTTAAAATACAAAAGAATATAATTAGAATCATTACAGGATGTAGAAGTAGAGATTCATGTAGAGAATTATTTAAGAAATTAAAAATTCTACCTCTTCAATCGCAATACATATTATCGCTTCTCTTATTTGTTGTTTACAACAAAGATAAATTCAAATTAAATTCTGATGTCTATAACATGAATACTAGACAAAAATATAACTTCCACCTACCCTCATCAACTTTATCAGTATATCAAAAAGGAGTCTACTTTACTGGCATAAAAGTGTTCAACAATCTGCCACAAAGTATTAAAAACTTGGGCAATGATACTAAAAAGTTTAAATCAGAGTTAAAGAATTATCTACATGCTCATTCCTTCTACTCTTTAGATGAATACTTCAATGTAAATAGAGAATGATGTAAAATTAAGTTATATTAATTTTTAAGCTAAAATTGCCTGTACTTATGTATGTAACATTTTTACTTGTTCTGTATCCAAAGGTACTAACCTGCTTAGGATTTATAGAATGTAAATAAATTCAATTCAATTCAATTCAATACCTGTTTGTACATGTAAGCAGTGGTTCTCTCTGAGCTCTTGATTTCAAAGTCATCCAGAGTTTCTCCTATGTTATATGACAACAATCCTCTGATAAGTTTATACTGAGAGAGATCCAGCGCTCCATGCAGGGCTGAAAGTGTCCCCTTAACACTCATGTCTGGAACTGTAGGGGAAAGAAACATATGTAGCATCTCTCAGGTAATCACAACAGTGCTTTTCTTCTGGGATATAATGGACTACACTGATTACACAGGCACTATAGCCAAGACGACAGAACTCTTAAAAATAAACATACATCAAAGGAGCATGTAACTGTGTTAACTAATAAGTGTAGGTTCTAGACATGTGTAAACATGACCTGGGTTGTATCTATAAGTTTTGTGTCTCACCCAGCCTCAGTGTAAACACATATGAAATCACCCCCAATAACATGAAGTATACTGACAAATGTAAACATGAACGGGTTGCAGTATGCTCAATGTGTCTCACACATCCTCAGTGTAAGCATGCACAAAAGCACCCCCAATAACATGAAGTATACCCACATAAGTGTATACATGAATGGCCTGCAGTATGCTCAGCATGTCTCATACAACCTCAGTAACATGAAATATACCAACAAGTGTAAACTTGGAACAGGTTACAGTATGCTCAGTGTGTCTCATACAGACTCAACGTAAAAGCATGTACAAAAGTTCCACCAGTAACATGAAGTATACTCAGGCAAGTGATAAGATGAGTGGGTTACCAGGACATTGTGTCTGATACAGCCTCAGTGTAAACTTGTCTGAACACGATTCCAGCATCATAAAGCGTAATGCAAAGACATATGTACTTTTACTGTACCTCATGCTGCCTCATTCATTCATTCATTCATTCATTCATTTATCGTTCCATGGATCCACAATACAAGTGAGATATAGGACATGTCCATACAGTGATTATTCATAAAATTAATAGAGCAAGAACTAAGTACATAAATAAAAAAGTATAAAATACAAAAATTGAAACAAAACATGTAGAATCAAATAGATTCCAGTCATATAAGTTAATTTAATGAAACATGCAGTTTAAATTTAAACAATGTCAGTTTGAACATATCACAGAAATTGCTTAAATGACTAGACTAGAATAATAGAATAATGACTAGAATAATACTAATAAAAGACTGGATGATCAACAGGTGATTCTAGTGAATGCATAATCATTAACTTATAATGATTTATATTGGAAATATTCTTCCACAGAATAAAAATGATGAAGATAAAGAAAACGCTTTAAACAAATTTTGAACTTCTTAGGGTTGAGTGACTCTTCTTTTATATAAGAAGGAAGATTATTATAAATTTTTATGCCCATATAATACACTCCCTTTTGATATACCGTAAAATTTGCTATGGGTTGATAGAAATTTGTAATATGTCTTGTATTTATATTATGATTTAGTGAATTTGGAATAAAGAGACTTTTATTATTAACCACAAAGAGCATGAGTGAAAAAATATACTGTGAAGCCAAAGGCAAAATTTCCAATTTCCGAAAGAGATCTCTACATGAAACTCTACTATTACAGCCGATCATAATTCTAATTATCTTCTTCTGCATTCTAAATACTTTTATACTATGAGGCGAGACTCCCCAAAAGCAAAGACCTCAATGTATATATTCTGGCTCCACTTCTGAATTGCACTCTCAATGGGGAAATATGCTGTAATTAGATTTTTCATCAAAATGTTCTGAGAATTGAAACTGATGCTTCTCAGTCATGCACATTACAATCTGACCTCAAGTCAAGTGACTACCACCTTTACACATAACTAAGAGAAGTGTTACATGGATACCAATTTCCAAGACATGAGACAGGCTATACATACTTTGCTTCACATTCAACCAAAATCATTTTACACATAGGGCATGAAGAATATAGTGGACTATTATACAAGTGTTAAGTGCCTTCTGTAAATTTAACAAAAGAAATAAACAGAAACTGCCACTATCTTTTTCTTTAAATTACATCTGGACATAGTATACTACCATTATAAAATTAATATAATCCACTGTGCAAAGTTTAAAAACATTTGGTTTGATTTTTCCTTTCATATATTCCTCACTTTCTTGCCTTGTGTTCTTACACCTGCATCTAACATATACCTTAGGCTCTGAGAGTTTAGGCGGGCCACATGGGGCACTAAAATTTATGTTTCAGTTTATATGGAAGTCAACATCCTAAGGGTAAAAAAAAATACAACCTGCATCACTGAGGAAACCATCAATATAGTCAAATCCACTCACTATTTCAACTGTGAAGATGGACACAGATGCAATCAAGTTTGACTTCCCTTCTTTTCCTCTAACCCTTCTTTATAACCACATGACCCTGCCTACTGGACAACCACATGCTCCACATCCATACTTCCTCCCACTCTGTGTACTAGGCCATATCCTCCTTCAACACAATTCACCCTGAAGATGACGACTGAAATGCACGGAAACATACGATGTGGCCGATCCTTGAACTATGAAGTCCCACATAACATCGTGTATTGTTCTAATCATAACTTTCAGTTGGCCAGTGTTCATGTAACCACCAGAATGTAACCCAATCATCTCAGCCTACCACATTCAAAAACCTGTATTATCCAGTCCGGATCTGGAATGATGTGTGAATAAGCTGTGTCACCAGCGTTCCAGTTGCTCTGATACAACTTTCATGTTCTTACCATCATGGTTTAATGGAGAATCCAAATTTCTTTCCACTTGAAGCTTTAGTTGGCACTTCTCACGGAGAAGGGAAGGGCCCCATTTGTTTACAACAAAGGACCCTAACTCCAGAGCACACTGCGGTTTCTTAGTTTTCAGGTTTTTATCAAATTGCTGGGCTTCCCTCCGTCCAGCATACAAGTCCATACTCACCAACTCAATTTGCATCACATCGAGTAAACAAGCAACTGAAAGGCAAATAATATTTGCTGTGGGCTCAAAAATGTCACATATTGTAAGATTTGAGGTTTTCATGGCGGTGACTATGAAGAAAGTAGTCTTCTGGGATTTGGCACCGTGTATATGTGGCGTTAACCGAAGTATTCAGAGGAACGTATCGGTTCTCATGGTCTCTTCACCTGTGGATTTCTTATATTTTTCCTTCTACCCTGAAGATGGAGGCGACACGTTCCTCCGAAACATCAGTTAACACCACATATACACGGTGCCAAATCCCAGAAGACTACTTTCTTCATGTTACATATTGTTTTCATATTAGGACCATTTTTCTGTGCTTAGAAAAAGCAACATTATAGAAAATACATAAATACAGGTTTAAAAACATGCAACATTATATGTTATGGGGAAAATCTATTGAATAGTTTTATGTGAGTGATTCATTACTGAAAATAAAAGTAGTGGTATAGAGGAATACTGAATTACCTTAATGTGTCACAGCTTTCTTCCAGTAGAAGGTGTTATAACCCGGAAACTACACGTTAAGCAATGTACAGACAATGCAAAAATTCTGGTTCCTTCACTCCCATCTGTTTAATTATTTAAAAAAAGAAAAAAGCAATGTGCATAAAATGTGCTTCACTTCATCTGAAAATCCTGTTAAAATATTTTTCAGACAGACTCACATTCAGCAAGTTACGTGTGAAATGCACTCAAGAGGCAAGCAGAAATCCATGTAGGTTCTCACCAAGAATCATCATAGTCTGAATTTAACTACAACTGGTATGTTTCAACAGAGTTCACTGAAACCTTCCAATATAAAGCTCATGAGAATCAATTTAGCAATTTTACAGATACAAGTGAAGAGGAGGAGCTGGGATAGTGCAGTCAGTACAGCAACTGGCTACGGCCTGGAGGATGGAGGGGTTGGAAATTTTCTCTTCTCCATGTCATCCAGATGAGCTCTGGGGCCAACCCAGCCTCCTTTCAATGGGCATCAGGGGCTCTTTCCCAGGAGTAAAGGGGCAAAGGCATGAAGCTGATCACTTACCTAAAAACTAGTGTCAAGGTCAAGAAAACGTGCATCTATACATCCACTCCACCGCACATCTTCATGGTGTAGTGCTTAATTATATAAATACCTTTACCTTACAAGTGAACAGAGAAACAGAGAAAGATTGACAGGTATGGCAAAGGCAATAGGCTCACTTTCACAGTTTTTATTGCAAACACAACAAAAAGAATTACACCAAAGAGTATCTCAAAGACAAGATATCTGCTAGAATAGAATATATATATCCAGTCCTAATTAGTGAGTACAGAAACAATCTTTCAATTTCAAAATTCCACTTATACATTTTTTTTCCTTGGCAGTACAGCCCCAGTGGGCCTAGGCCTACCTCCATGAACTTCTCCGTTCACTTCGGTTTTTCTAGATCTTACACATTCGGTAGGACTCCTTGGGCGGGTGATCAGCTCATCACAAGGCCTCTACCTGTACACAAATGCAGAAAAACGCACACACACAAACTAAACATCCTGCCCCGAGTGGGATTCGAACCCACGATCCTGGTTTCCAAGCAAGCGAAGACAGTACATGCCCCACTTATACATTAGTCACACTTTATTTCCTGGAGAAGAGTATAAGATAGATTGAATAGCCTACTACTACAGTTATGTATGTATTATTATTATTATCATCATCNTTTACGTGCCGTAAATCTATGACACGGGACCTACGGCTTAAAGTCCCTCCCGGAGGATTTGTTCCCTGAATTTTTCCGCCCTTAAAAATTCCACGACCTCCACCGGGTTTGAACCCGCGTACCTTGAGTCATGAGGTGGGAACGTTACCCCTAGACTACGGAGGCCACTTCAACAGGTATGTAACTTGTGCAGTTAAAACGGCATTATTAAATAATATAACTACTAACTAATTAAGCACTATGCCATGAAGGCGTATGGGGAGTGGATGTATAGATCCACATTTTCTTGACCTTGGCACTAGATGGAGGTTAGTGGTCAGCTTCACGCCCTTGCTGCTTTACCCCCAAGGAAAGAGCCCCCAATACCCACTGGATAGGAGGTTGGGTGGGCCCCAGAGCCAGTCTGAACGATATGGAGAAGAGAAAATTCTGACCCTACTGGGCTCAAACTCTGACCCCTCAGTTGTCCAGCCGATAGGCAGTTACTATACTGACTACTCTACCCCGGTTCATTAAATAATATAACAATCAGTAATACCATAGCTCTTTGCCAAGGATAATACAAAGTAACATTAAAGAAGAATGCTTACAGACATTTGAGCAGATAATGCAAGTGCTGTTGGTTTCAGAATATGGAGGCAGGTGACACGGATGGTTACAAGTAGTTACAAAGGCAAATTCTGACAGTGCATGCATAGGAAGCACTATATTATGACATGATGCCCAAAACCAAGAACAGCAGTCAGAGACACATGGCCAAGATATCCACTGCTTGGCAATGGCTAGGTTAACATATTCATGGAGCAACCAATATTGATACAACAATAGTGGAACTGCTGGAGGCAGTGATGCATGCCTTGAAGTTATACAGGGAGGGCCAATGGGACAAGAGTTGTTGTTAGCAGTCAGTCACCTGTCAGTGGGGTTAGCAGCTGCTGAGCACAGAAGCCACTACCAAGTAACAAGTGCGTGAGGGCACAGCAGACTGAAAGACTTGGAATGAGCTGTAGCTATTTGTAGATCGTGTATAATAGTGCAAGTGTTATAATTATTTGTAATTATGAGTAATAAGGATCCAATAAATTCAATAACTAATACAAACCCTGTGTTTATTCAATAAAACATGACAACTGGTGTCAGATGTGGGACTAGACTGAACTTAATTGTGGATTGTTGGACTGGAACTGACCTGAAGCTAACCATGGGAGACATGCAATGTCTGACAGCTGCAACACGGGAAATGCAGGTCAGTCACACAAGGACCACAATAAACGCCAACCAACAAAGGATGGAGGCTAAGACAGACACTGCTAAAATGCCACCAAAAAAAAAGGCTGGAGGCCATAGTAAAGACTGACCAAGAAGAGATGAAAGTCACAACGCTGGCTAGCCAAGAAAAGATAAGGGCCACAATAAACTCCATCCAGTCTGAGTTTGAAGAGACCATCAACAGTCGGGTGAAGGGTGCCTTAGCATCTGTTGACTAACAGACCAAGAACCTCTGTGAGGAACACAGCAGTGAGATAAAAAAGGGCCCTCATGAAGAATTTGATACAGAGATTTAAGGGGAGCACTTACACATACAAGAGGCGAGGATGCTCGTAGAAGCCACACAGCAGGAGTTCAAAACATAAGAGGCAGAAGTTGAAACCTGGGCATGGTGCAGAGAAGCCAGAACTCAGTGACCTTTGTGGATAGGGTTTCAGAGCCCAAGAGACCACACCTGCCAGCGATCGAGGGGCACAACACTGGGTGACCCATGTGCTGGCACTGTGGGGGCACTGGCCATCTTAGGAGAGGCTTCTGACAGGTTCCCAGAAAGAGGTAGACTGAAACCCTTGAAACACGACTTTGAGAAAGAAAGAGAAGATGCTGGTGCCTTCACTCCCACCTCGTTACACACTAAGCATGTCAGGAAAACAGGCCATGACACTCTGAGCACCAAGGGATAGAGGGGAGAAATGTCATGCCTTGTGACCACAGACTCAGGAGCACCAGTGACAACTGCCAGACCAGACATCACTGAAGGACTGCCCTAGAGAGACCTGTCCATGCTGTACATCCTACTGATGGTATCAAGGCAGATCCTCCACATCTCGAATGGAAAATTTGTGCAGCCTGACACGTGGGTGGTGCCCACTTCTGGCTTGGGCATTCATCACCCGTATGACTGATGCATTCATCCTGGAACTGGATGTTTTGTGTGCCCATGCTGCATCCATAGACTGGGTAATGAAGAAGTGCCATTGTGCCCCTCTGACAAGAGGGGTTAACTTAACTTTTTGTTATCCTCATGTGCCACATGCTGCAGTCTGAATGCACATGCTGCTACACAAGTACAGAAAGCATACACTTAAGATTCTTCATAGTTAGTGAAAAATTGGAAACAATTCAAGAAGCAAAAATAATTGTGAATATGCATCAATACGTAAGTAACATACAAGAGATTTGAGAAAGAAAAAAGATTTGATTCTGCAAAGCAGTAATAGCTGCATGGCTCTTTGCAGCTGAAACCTGAAAGATCTGAAATACAAGAAAAGCTTTGGGAATATGTGATTAAGTGGATGTGTGGTGCACCACTGCCATGGTCCGGAACATCAGACCCTGAATGATATGGGGCTGTAGCAGAAATAAGCAAAGAATAGGACATTAAATTTTAAGATGACATGAATTATATGTGTACTTCAATACTTCAATAAATTCACATAAACACTTGATCACCTCCTATTTCTTTAAAAACTGGCATCCTTGGCCCTTTCAAGGGTATGGGGTATCTGAGACAACACAGTAGTAACATTCACTATGGTGAGACATGTGGCAACATTACCATCCAGGGGCTGTGCAGCTGCTCTGTCCTCAGCTAGCTGTCGCACTGAGCTGATGGTTCCTTCCGATCCAGCATAACAAAAGCTGTTGCTCACTGACAACTTTCCCAAGTCAACAACCAATATTTCTGGAGACTGGGAGCTAACAGGCAACAGGATTACTGGAGAGCCTGCATGAAGCTCTAACAACAGACGTGTTGCCTGCATTCTTTCTTCTGGTACCTGTGAGTAAAATGGATTAATCACCTGAACCTGATGAAACACCAACACATAACTTATTCACTCATATAATTTACATACTACTATTTTCTGATCAGAAATTCTGGAAAAGAATTAAATATATATTCTCAAAGTTAACTGTATTTCTGCAAACACATAATTTATGTCAACATACGAAGGTCATTGAGAAAGTAAAAACCGTTCATGCATAGCCCTTGTGCAGGACTTTGCCTGTGACATTTTCCCATTCTCCCTACAGTCTGGACCTGGCTCCAAGTGATTTTCAGTTCCTCACAGACGAAGCAGTTTTTGGATGGCTTGTGTAGGAGTAATAATGAGGAAGTGAAGAAGATGGTTAAAGACTGGTTCAAGGAGCTGACAACAGATCTCTATGATGCACGCATACAGATACTCATCATGCTGTACTACAAGTGCCTGAATCTTAATGGGAATTATACAGAAAATTGATTTAATGTCTGTTATAATGATGTAAAACAATTTTTCTTTTTTTCTTTAATTTTATTAATTTATTTTCTTTTAATTGCCAATGGTCTTTACTTCCTGCATGGCCCTTGTACGTCAATCAACATATAACCAAATGACATTTTCATCTCAGTGTTATGAAGAAATTGCAAGTTGAAGTCTACAGGCATGATTATCCTGATATCATTGTCACGCCACATTAAACTCTGACTGCACGTCCACAAAAATGGTGTGTCTGTTGTAATATTATTAAAGGGAACTTCCATCTCAACATTACTCAAGGAACTGCATGGCAGAGTCCATGTCTGTGAATAGCCATACAATGTTACCATACCAATTCAAATATAATCATCTTAACCTAAGCATAACATCATACTCCAATAAGCAGCACTCACATTTTTATGCATTACAATTTTTAGATACAATTTTGGTGGTGAAAAAAATGTATAAATTACACTAGCAGATACAGTCTGTGTTTCAACATTAACGTCCTAATTAGAATCTAAAACAGCATGCATTTATGTTTACAGCGAATAAGTTATTAACAAGAACACCAAACAGAGGCTGCTCAAATAAGCAGAACTTAAAAAGATAACGCCTTTTACATCCTTCAGCTACCCCGCTTTGAACATACCACAATTCCAGCTGCTGCTGAGTGTATGCTGTTCACAAAACTTTGGAGCTGGGAGAAATGATGGCAAAACGCTTGTATCTCTGCCACAAATCTGTGTGTGTGTACATACAACACCGATGACATCTCCAGTTTGAGCAAGGAGTCATAATCCAATTTTACTCTCAGCCCTTGTCGCCTACGTCTGAAAATTTTAAGTGCACTTTGACACTGCTCCTCCAAGTTGGGGACAGTACTACAGAATGAACGCATTTGATGTAAAGATTATACTCTGAGAAGTATGTAAGACTATAATTCAACTTGCTACCTAAATACATATTGTGTCCAAGTTAAATTTCTGAGCTATAACCTCAAAATTTCACACCATGACCCAGTTTCAAACTGTTGACTAATTAGCAGTATTTCTCCCACAATTTTTAGAAACACATACAGTGTCCTTTTATCATGTGACACTTTAAAATTTGTATAACTTCTCTGTTATTAAATGCAATTGTAGGACACTTTCATAGATCATTCTACACATTGGGAAAATTTCTTTGCTGCAATTGGGACTGCTCAACTAGACAAAATGATGCAACTGTATACAAAGGACTAGAAAGTGTTTGCCATCAAAATACTTTACTCTTCCGGCGTATTTCCTCTGTTGCTATGGAGAGAAAATTTCATTGAGCGTTTTCTGTTTATGTTTCACCATTGAGAGAGACTGTCCACCAGAATGTTAAACAGATTGAAGGAACAGGAAATGTGTGTGATGAAAATGAGAAGGAATATGTACAACAGACTGGGGTCTCAACCAGCACTGCATGCAAAATCTGTCATGATGACTTGTCAGTTTCTGTATAAAATGCAGCTCCGTCAGCCATTGTCAGAAGATGGAATAGCAAAACCTCTTCTTCTTTTTGTGTGTGTCTGTGAGAGAGAGAGAGAGAGAGAGAGAGAGATGGAGTGCAAAGTGCTAATAGAGGACGACCAGATGTCTCGCATGTTACACGATTCTCTGATGGAGCACATTTTTGATTGGATGGTTACAGCAGCAAACAAAATGTTGGACATCAGAAAATTCAAGGCTTACAGCTGCCAACCCAACAGATCTAGAGAGAATGACAACAGAGTGTGCATTACTGAGTGTCGGAATATTCAGTGCCAGGTTCTTTGATGGTACAGCCACTTCTGATATGAACCCAAGTCTCCTGACTGATGACTATGTCCCTTTCCTGATGGGATATGGCATTCCAATGACTTTTGTCTGGTTTCAACAAGAGAGTGCCAGACATTACATGCACAATGTCGTACTTCACTTTTTCTACGTTTCCAAGGAGACTGCCCTCTTGAACATCCTACACTATTTAAGGAAAGATTTTCATGGCCACCAAACTCACTTAACTTAAACATTTGCACTTATTTTTGTACGGGGGTACTTGAAGAGTAAGGTGTTTCAGAAAAATCTGCAAACAATTCTGGAACTGAAAACTGCCACCCAAAAAGAGAATGAAGCCATTCTACATAAACTCAATCAAAGTTCCGAATAATTCAAGCAGCCTCCGTAGTCTATGGGTAACGTTCCCACCTCATGACTCAAGGTACGCGGGTTCAAAAACCCGGCGGAGGTCGTGGAATTTTTAAAGGCGGAAAAATTCAGGGAACAAGTCCTCCAGGAGGGACTTTTAAGCCGTGTGTCCCGTGTCGTAGATTTACGGCACGTAAAAGAACCTCATGTCTCTAAGAGACCACTGAGCTAAATTAGGCCCAACATTTCCCACCCAAAGTAGATTCCAATGCCTCTGGTAGATGGGGAAGTATTAGGTACCACTGCCAGAGGAGGGACGACCTCTCTGACAGAAAAGGACTAAAGTATTAGATACCACTGGCAAGTAGAGGGTAGAAACCTTGCTGGCAGAAAGGGACTAGGAACCCCTGCCAGAGGAGGGACAACCTCGCTGACAGAAAGGGACTATTAGATACCACTGCCAAGTAGAGGGTAGAAACCTTGCTGGCAGAAAGGGGCTAATAGCGAGCACCAGTACCGGTAGGGGATGGAGACTGTAGAAATTAAAAGGGGGACGTACAATAGACTATCAGTCGCGGTGCACGGGGAAACCCACCCCCTCAATACTGAATCACTGAATCCGAATAATTCTGTTCTTCACTTTCTTATATGTTGTGATATTCGTGGACATTACTGAACATTTTCCAGTGTAACAAACAAACTTCCAAAGTGTGCAGAACAAGTCTGTGAAAATTTCATATAATTGCATTCAATGGGTAAGGTACTGAGCAAAACCCTGTACAATCTACCTTCATACAAAAGTTCACACTTCTAGCTCCAATAGTTTATTATGTAGTTGGTCAACTGGTCCAAAGGGTGAAAGATGGGGGACGATTCACATACAAACAGCATGATGATCATATTAAGAAAGAAAAAATTAACAAATGTTGGTACTTAGGTTCACACTATAGACATTTATATACAATTTATGTAATGATGCTCTCAACTGCTCAGCAATCGGTGATATGACAATCTGCAAACAATAAATTGGAATGGCCAGGGAAGGAGGCAGTCATGCCCTAATTTCAGGTACTGTACTGCACTAGCCTACAGGGATTGACAAAAGCCATGAAAAGCCTCAGTCAGGATAGCCAGTCCTCAGACTGAAATCTGACCTTGCACCAACCAAATCTAAAGCAGGACTGCTACTCACTTGTCCACAACATGTAATTTCCCTTAATGACAAGATCATTAGGTTTATTTAATTTTTATAGGAAAACTGGTTAAATGGTGGATGATAGCTATACTTGAGAATGGCAACATCATATACATTACCTGACCATGTAGAAATTGAGTGCTTCGTGGCCTGAAGAGATGAATCGCTCTCTGTACAGAAGACCATGGGGTGTGAGGTCAAGCAGAGACATCCTGCCCAAGCGACCTTCTATAATCTGTTCCTTATCGTGGGATTTTACTTGAGTTGAAAAATGTGATATGTTAGCTCTTGCTACTTCATACTGTGGGCGGTTCAACACCAGAGTCAGTGAACGGATTTCTATGTCTAACTCAGAATTGAATGATATTTCATCTGAAACAAACAAAACAACCGTGTAAACACAGAAAACACCAGACATTAGAAAATCAACTCATTCACTAAACATAAACCAGACAACTGAGAAACTGTGGCACCAGACACATGACAGTTTCTAGGAATCAATGGGAGAAAGGAATTCAAATGGTAAGAAAATCCAAAAAAAAAAAACAGAAAAGAAAACTTGAGCAATTGCCACCTATAACATTTTGCCAAAAAAATCTTCAATTTAGAAAATAAGAAAATGATAACTATTTCAGTATATATGGATACTTCCTATTGGCCAATAAAAGGCATTCTTTACTGAAGGGTCATCACTATTAAAATCAAAATCCAAACACTCAATCAGTTCAGTCATCTCCACCAAATTCTGAATGCATTTCTTGGTTTTCATCCATGTTGCATGAATGATCCAAATGTCTGGTTTTAAGTAGCAAAACAACAAGAAGAAATGTCAAGTTTCTCTTCATTTGCTTAATTACATAACACATCTAACACTGTCCTCAGCATGTTCTTCCATGAGCACAAGAGATATGTTCAAAAACAAGACAAAAGAGACAGTATGCCATGTGCTGTAGACATACAGCAGCCTTATGGGCACAGTAGTCTGAGATATTTCAAAGGAACTGACTGCCTCAATCTTCAGGGTAGACCTGTCAATGGAGACAGTATGTTCATCTGTAATATTTTTGCCTACCAACCAGAGTACAGCATCATAACCAAAAAGGCACTACAAGTGTCCACTGCCATAAATCCTTCAAATCCCATATTTGTTAGATACATTACTAGCTTCAGTGTTTTTCAAAGTGACAAGAATACAACTGCTTCTAAACAGGACAATGACATGAATCACAAAGTAATGGTGTTTATGTTACCTTTATTAGCTGATGTATCTTCTGCTGGAATCGACTGCCAAGGGGCACTAGCTTTGTGCTGTCCTGTTGGACTGTCAGGACCAAGTCCAAAGAAATCCAAGATCACAACCCAGGACTCAACATTCACAATAATATCAAGTGAATTGAAGTCCACATTCACAGAGCGATCCAGCTAAATAACAAGGAAAGAGGGCATAGGTGAGGGCATTACGTATTACAATCAGTATCTGATGATATAACCAGAGGTCTAGATATACCACAATGGGTAACTTCAGAGCCTCTTGTCAAATGTTTAAATGTTTCACTAGGGAACTTAACAGTAACACATAAGCACATAATCATTTTCTGGCATTCATTCATTCATTCATTATCAATGAGTGAACAAGATTAATTTGCTAATCTCCAGTCATGGCTACTTAATGCTATGCTGAAAAGCCAAAGGGAGGAAAGGCACATGTCACTGAGTCAGCAAAGTGCCTTCAGTTCCATTCTCAATCAGCAGCATGAAAGGCTTGAAGGGCTCATGGCTATCAAAAGTCTTCTCAAGTGACTGCCTGTGTCAATTTCAAGTAGAAACAAAACATTTTAGAGTCATTCTCTGCCTCTGTCATAATTCTGTAATGAAGGCAGACATGTGCTCCAAACGTTCAACATTTGCCCCAGACTCACTCAGCTGGCCAGTCCAAAGAGATACAGGCAATACATTACAGATGATACTGGAAGACAGAAATATCGTCATCATCATCAAGTTTTAAGTGCTGGGCCACTTCTTGGCCTATTTCAGCTTCAGTTGTGTAATGGCCATTTCAAAGATCATCCTCTGTTCCTTACACCAGTCAGTGCATCCACTGTCTGTGAGATATTTCTCTGCAGTCTCTTGACAAGTGAATTCATCTGCTTCCAGCTCTAAAATACTGGTTAACACTACTTTTACTCCTTCTCCTCAGATTTCCATGACTGGGGAAAAATGTGTGGCTTCAGCTTTCAGGAATATGCCATGTAGTATGCTGAAGGTATTTCAGACTTTTAGCAAATACTTCAGTTACCATCATCAGGGTTCATAACTCTAGGGGTAGTTGGCGGCTCCTATACAGATCTTGCATTAGGCAGTGAGTTGGAGGTGAAGCTGTAACTGGATGAACAGAGGTGCAGGAAGCTAATGAACAATAGCAATCACAAGGTTAGTGAAAAGCAGTGATGCAAAATTTGTTCCATCGTTGTCTCCTCCTCCTCCCAATGTAGATAGCAAAGGGAGTTCAGTGGCTTTTGGCTTAAAGTGGACCAGTGGTGGATTTTGAGGTGAAGGGATGAGCTAGGCTTTATTCGATCTATATTCACTTTCATGATGAAAGTTATAAAAGCTTTTGCATGAGTAATGCAATCTGTCAGACACCAAACTATACACCCTTTCCAACTGCACTCAAATTGAGCAATATTTGAAACTTGAATGCTGATCAATGTCTTTAAGATTGTAATGTCATATGGTTTAGCACAACATTACCAACATTCTACCATCTTCAGGGTAGGAGAGGGAGGCAGCTGGCTCCTCCAAAATGTTAGTGTGTTTTCTTTTGGACTATTACCATCACAACCCAGAAGACAGCCATGCTGATATATCAAATACAGTAGCTTTCATTAAAATAATATTTATTGGCCAAGAAGAATTACCAGAAGAAAACAAACACTGCAATATTCAACTGAACTGAATTAACTAAACTAAACTAAAGAAATGTCAAACAAAGAAACACACAAATGTAAACTGCTGCTTACTTACTTACTCATGGAGCTGAGCCCTTCTCGAGGAGCCGCCAATTCTGCAGCTACTCAAGAATTTCTCAGCATTTCATGGAACCTGAAGGTTCATTACCGTGTTCACAAGAGCACTCCACTGGTCCCTATCCTGAGCCAGAACAATACAATCAATACCATCCCATTCTACCTCTCTAAGATCCATTTTAATATTGTCCACCCAGCTACGCCTTGGTCTTCCCAGTGGTCTCTTTCCTTCTGGCTTTCCCATCAATATCCTATATGCATTTTCTTATTAACATTCGTGGTACATGCCCTGCCCACCTCATCTTCCTTGACTTGATCATTCTAATTAAACTTGGAGAAGAGTACAAGTTATGAAGCTCTTCATTATGCAGTTTTATTCAACCTCCTGTCACTTCATCTCTATTTGGTCCAAATATTCTCAACAACCTGTTCTCAAACACCCTCAGTCTATGTTCCTCCCTTAATGGCAGAGACCAAGTTTCACACCCATACAGAACAACAGGCAAAATTATAGTTTTGTATATTCTAATTTTTATGGTTTTGGACAGGAGACGAGAAGACAAAAGGTTCTGCACTGAATGGTAGCAAGCATTACCCGAGTTCAATCTCCTCTTAATTTCCTGCTGAATCGGCTTTTTGATCTGTTATTGCTGTTCCCAAATATCTGAATTGTGCCACATTTTCGAAACATCTGTTTCCTATCTTCATATCATGATTTCGCCCTGCATTTTGGTGATGAGACAGCAACTTATACTTAGTTTTCTCAGTGTTTACTTCTAGACCAACCTCTTTACTTGCGTCAATTAAAGTTTGTGTGTTTTTCTTTATGGTATCTACATTATCACCCAGTACATTCACATCATTGGCATAGGCCAACAGCTGATGTGTCCCCTTTAATTTCAGTCCCACCTGGTTTCCCTGAACCTTCCTAATGGCATATTCTAAAGCAAAGTTGAAAAGGAGTGGTGTTAAAGCATCTAAAGCATCTCCTTGTTTTAGACCATTCTGGATAGGAAATTTATCAGACAAATGTTTACCTACACAGACTTCACTACACATTTTGTTTAAACACATTTTAATCAACCTAACTAGTTTCATGGGTATCCCAAACTCTATCAGAATATTGTACAATACTTCCCTCCTAACTGAATCATAGGCTTTCTTGGAGTCTATGAATAGCTGATGTACTCACTCATCGTACTCCCATTTTTTCTCCAATATCTGACAAATGCAAAAGATCTGATCTGTGGTTGATCTGTTACGTCGAAACCCACACTGATGATCCCCAATAATTTCATCTATGTATGGACTTAATCTTGAGAGAAGAATATTGGATAAAATTGTGTATGAAGTTGATAACANGTCGAGGGGGGGGGGGGGGGGGGGGGGGGGGGGGAAGAAGAAGAGGAGGGGAAAGGGGGAAGAACTTAGAAGAATGTTACTGCCTGCAAATGCAGTTTAATGATATAATTTGAGAGCTTACCTTAAAACCATTCATACCTGCATCAGTGAAATACATACTGTCCTATGTAAGGCCACATGATGTAATGAGCATACTTACTCCTTCATAATGAGATATGAAGTTGGGCGCATTCTTATCAATGAGTGCCATGTTTATGTGGACCAGATTATCTTCTCTGTTCATACTTGCTGGTGAACCAGAGAAACGAGGAGATGGTGGCGGTGTACATGGATATTCCACAGTCTTGGCTCGTTTTATTGTTGGTTTAACTGCAGAGAGCAAGAAATTAACATGTAAGCACTGAACTGAGCACAAACTAACCCAATGAAGGAGCTTGTCTGAAAATTTTCCTGTGCATTTACATTAAAACTGACTTGGAAATAAAATGCTTCACAGAAGAAGTCTTCTTGTGATCTTTCGCAACAAGTTCTTTTTTTATGGTAAGAAGTTGTCAGCCCCATGCCCAACCCCCAAGGCTGATTTCCTTTTTGTTTTCTGTGTGTGCATACATCCTTACTTGCTTGCTTGAGTGTGCACACACGTGTAAGTAGCGCACTGTTATACTGACTTGGAATAGTGTGGCTTTGACTTACAGGCCACACTGAAAGCTACCCATTTCAGCCAACCTTGCAGTTCCCATCTTCAGGGCTTATGACTTTGACTTCACTACAATTCTGTTAACTCTGATATAGGTCTTGCATTAGGCAGTGCTGGGGATGAGGTAATTATTGTGTGAACAGAAAAGCAGAATGCTAACCAACAGGACTTGAATTTACTTGTTTACTTATCTATTTATGGTTTATTTAATGATGCTGTTAGTAGCTCAGATTATATACAGTCAAATGAAACAAAAACTTAGAAACTGGAAAGGGCATGCAACAAAGCACCTGTGGTCTAATGGTCCCCTGGCATTCACTTGGAAAGAATGAGGAAAATCATGAAAAAGTCAGTCAGAATAACCAATGTCCAAGCTGCTATGTGAACTAGACATGTCCTGAATACAAACCAGAATCATTACTGCTTGTGCAAACTTGCTGGGTGAATTAAATCTAGAACTTGCCAGAAGATTATGCAGAAATCACACTCGGTGCAGACTGGTGAACATCAAGGGCAACTACACAGTTAGAAGAGACATCAAGAAAACAAATACAAGGGAAAGATCCAAACCCAGCGAAGGGGAATGCAGAAAGAGAGTCTACACACATTAATGAAGAAAGAGAACGCAGAAGGGAATAAAAATTGTTCCAAGGAGAAATGACATGCAAAATTAAATCTCAATACAAATTATGACGATGATGATGACAATATAAGAGTGAGTTGAACAACGATTAACAGCCCCTTCATTGTCCAAACATTCTTACACCCTGATGGTGGAACAATTTCATTGATGGACAATGACTATGACAGTGACAACAAGTTTACATCAAGTTCTCTTTTCTCACACTGCTTGAAACTCAAGCTCAATCTCAGTTTCCAAAGCCAAACCCAATTCTGCCTATAGCTCAGAGCCTGATCTATTCAAGTCTCGGCAACAATATTATTCCAAAGCATTCAGGACCCCTTACTCTTCACGCCTATTTAAGAATCACTGTTGTGTTGTGACACACCTACCATCAAACATGAACACCTGTATATCTTATATTATGGGTTGCACAATGTGAAGTTTGGAGAAAGTGCAACACATCAGAGGAATATACTGCTTCAATCTTCAGGGTCAAGGAGTAATCACCAGGAGGAGGCAAGTTGATCTCAGCCTGCCACTTTCTAGCTTCTTGCTCGGCTTACTTTCACCCTGAAGATGGAGGCAGTATGTTCCTCCAAAATATCATGCTTTCTCTGAACTACACAGCCCTGCAACAGAGTACTACCAGTACCCCTTTAGGAGAAAGTTCGCATTCCAGAATCTGAGAGCAGCTTAGCCCCTCCATGTTCCAAGCACTGAGAAATATAAATCATGTGACATGCTCTGAATTTTTTCATCAGTGCAACAGCTAATTTCATTGTGTGCTGTCTCATATGTTCATAGAAGCACCAGGCAGTATCTTCCCTACAGATTTCTCATTACCATAACCTTCCACTGCCCTAGGTGGAATGATGATGTCACAGAATACAACTATATAGGGGCACATTTAAGGTAATGTCCACATCAAATATTCTGTTGGTGCTAACTCCAAACATGTCAAAACTTCAATTATGGCAATGAAATGGAGGAGCTTGCACTTCAATATTAAACTTGAAATTATATGTCAGCCTGATCTCAGTGGCTCATCAAAATGCTAAGTATGACAATGGTAGGGATTCTCCTTTTTGTCATTCTTTATCATAATCAGAAAAGAACATTTCTAAATTTAATTTCACAATCCCAGTTTATACTGTGACAGGCATGAAAACATGATAATTGTGCTACCAATTTAATGCTATACTGATGGGAAATACAGATGGCATGTATCCCATCCACATATGTTACAAAGGCAGTTGCAGCTGTCATGATGAGTGTGGTAAATTAAATGTGTACATTTGAGAAGGTCAGAAAAATTAAACAGTAAGAGGTTCATGCACAGTTTATGCATTTTGTAGTAAAGTGCTGCTGTAACATGATGGCTGAAAGCCAGAATAGCAGAAGGAATGGATGCAGTCATTGTTAGGCAGTAAACACATGTCCATGGCAACAAATGAACCCACACCAGTGGAGGAGCTTTTGGAGGCAGTGTCTTCTTACATGGTCTGTGCTCATGTTACCTAATGAGCACCAAATGTACAAGCCAATGAATGGCAGTCAGCTGGAGGTCAGAGTTGGTGATTGGTAGTCTTACGCTGCACTGTTAGCAGCCACCACCTAGTAACAACTACTGAACAAACAGAAGACTTTATGTGTGCTGTGGTTAGTGATCTATGGACTGGGAAAATCAGTGCAACTGCTATGGTTATTTGCAGTTATGAGTTATAAGCTTCCAACAAACCAAATTATCAATCCAAAAGCCTGTATTCAGTCATTAATATGTGGCAGTAATGTCACGTGATAATGGCTATATGTGGCATTCTGATTAGTAACTGGATTTCGTGGACACTGAATCATCTTACTTACAAATAATTAAACACAGTACAAGCATTCAATACCATTCCACAATCTGTTACATCACTCTTGTTAGGTTCCTTGCTTTCTCTGTTTTTACAGGAATGCTGCTAGGTTTCAGGCTCCGATAAGAGGGACTCTTCTGTTATCTTGAAGGCTCTCTGTACAACACTTTGCTGCTGACAAATGGGAAGACACCTCTCCCGTCAGTTCAACTGTCGCAAGCAAAACATGGCTTCTCTATGACAATTCTCTTTCCAATATTCTGACTTTTAACCATGAGTGATTCACAACCATCTCTTGCTCAAGTAATGTCAACAATTTGTGTATATTCCAATGATGGCATTTAGACTGACCCACAGCACAGTGTACACATTAAGTATTAGTATGACTTAAATTGCTTTGTGTGTTATGTCTGTCACTCCAGTTCAATACAAGCTGATACATCTATTCTCACTTTCATGCACACACTGTGAATTATGGGTGGAATATGGGTTTGAACTGATTGTGTACCAAACAGCAGACAGGACTTCTGCTTGTAAAGGACAACTTCTAGTTAGCAACTGACTGTGAGTAGAAGAGGTTATGTAAGTTTAAGAAACTGTGTAACTCTTTGCTTCAGATAATGCTAAAGATAATGACAACATTGAATGATTCTTCTTTATTTCCTCATTCTTGTGGTAAGAATAAATATTGCTGTAATTGTAATATTACTGAAACCTTACTGTCATATTACAATACATAACTGGAAGTCAGGGCTGAACATGTAGTTATTGGTTTCAACCATTTCCAGATATTACAAGTATCTGTCAGAATGAACACATTTTACAAATTTTATAAATTCTCATAATATTAACATTGCATCATAGTGTTTTACTGACTACCTTCACTTCACAAAAGCATGGATTATGATAAAATTTCCAACTGTGCCTTTCACAGCCCTTCACTTCCTTTCTATTTTAGTTACCTTACAAATAAAATGCCAACATTATCAATATGCTCATAAACCTCACAGCAAAACGACACATTTTAACTACTGAAACAAACAAATCTTGACATCAAACACTGAACGGGGCACCTGACACACAAATCTGTCTCCCACAGCTTGTGAGCTCTCTGAATATTTTTGGGATGTCAAATTGAAATCATAAAACTCCTCAGAATTTCTTACTGTGTATTTTATGTTAATTTCATGACTTTTTACATCGATGCTAACATACATTCATCAGGGTTAATGACATATACTCACCAGACTTCCTTCTCTTGCTGTTACTAAATGTCCCATAAACACTCTCTGTTTCCAGATGGTCTGGCAAGGAACTGTGGTGACTGTGTATCGGCTGATGGTTCAACAAGTTTGGGCAAGACTTAGAATAAAACTCTGGCGGCCGATTCAGAATCTTGTCATCCACTTCTGTTGCTGCAGATGACATCACAATCCGACGATGTTTAGAGTCAGGTTCAACAGAGAGATCTTCCATCAGCAGTGAACGCAGGGACATCTGAACATGCATTAACATTAACATATATTATGGGACCACTATGCAATTCAACACTGTTAATTTCTGAGTGGCACCATTTGGATCACCACATTTCATTCCGAAAGTGTTGATGATGAGGATATAATAAGCAACTGGGTGTGAATCACAGTGTCTTAATATGAAGGCAAAAATAGATAACAAGTTTTTGAAAACACTGAGATATAAACATTCGGACCTAAGAAGGATGAAATGTCCAGCTTAGGACATTATATACTAACAAGCCACATCACCTAGTATTATTAGGATGATGAAATGCAGGAGATCCTGTGCTGGGCAGTTTGTTCGGGTGGGGAAGCCAAGACATATACACAAACACATACACACACAGAATTTTCAAAGCAAAACATCCGCCTGGAAAAGGATGGAGAAGGAAGGACAACATAGGCTGAACATGAGGGAGACAGACAATGAGGATGGGCTAGGGATAGATTTAGCTCACAATTATATCTATTTTTTTTAGCAGTACCAAACCTTTGGGTATGGCTACTGTAATGTTAATTAGTTAGTTGTTAACATGCAACAATTAATGTACTGTGTAACGTTCTTTTATAAGCTTGTTACTGAGGCAATGTATGAGGAAAATAATTATGAAGTTCCAGGTCTCAATGTTGCCATCTTCCTCTGTATGCAGAGTTTCAAGACTTTTATACGAGGGTTGGAACTTTAATAGTGGCAACACTGCTGTAGAGACACCATGCAACGGAACCAAATAATGTCACTTATACCACACGTTAATTACCTACCTACCTTACCTCAGAGCAAATGGACTCTCCCTTCCCACATCATGCACATGCGCAGTGACAAGAAGAATAGAGCCTCATGTTAGCTGGCGGCCTAATGTAGTGTTGTCATGATGTTTTTTTTCGAAACAGGAACAACGGAGGTGGATAAAGATTGAATGTGCCAGAGGCTGTACAGCACGACAGTGTCATCAAGGTCTTCAAGAGGCTTGTGGGGAATCTGCATTGCCTTACAGAACAGTGGCAAGGTGGGTAAAAGCCTTCAACGAGGGACGCCAAAATGTGGCAGACATGCATCGGCCAGGTTATCCTAGTGTCAGTGAAGAAGTGTACGATGGGGTACCCAAAAGAAACCAAACTAATTTTTTTGTGGGCAGAGCTTTTGTAGTACCGCGTTTTGCCGCTATGAGCACATAGAGCTAACATTCCTGAGTCGATAAGCCAACTACCGTTGCTTCAGAAGGTAAGGACTAGTTTCGGCAGAGTTTATAGTAACAACTGTTTTGTGTGATCGTCGTTTTTGCAATGGCCGATTTTCGTGAACAGCGTGCGGCGGTGAAATTCTGCTTTTTGCTCGGGAAAAGTGGAACAGAAACTCTTGAAATGTTAAAAACGGCGTACAAGGACGATGCTATGGGGAAAACTCAAGTGTTTGAGTGGTTTTCCCATTTCAAAAATGGTGAAATGTCAATTGATGACAAACCTCGTTCTGGTCGTCCTTCCATGGACCGAACACATGAAAATGTTGAAAAAATTCGTGAAATCATCAAGGAAGATCGACGACGGACCATTGAAGAAATTGTGGAGCTGTCGGGAGTGACTTGGAGCTCAGCGGCCAGATTTGTGGCAGTTGGGTGACTGGTTTTTCCATCATGACAATGCCCCTGCTCACACAGCCCTGTCTGTAAGACAATTCTTGACCAAAAATGGTATGACCCCTGTTCCTCACCCTCCATACTCACCAGACCTTGCCCCGTGCGACTTTTTTTTTGTTTCCTCGAATGAAAAGAGACATGAAAGGAAAAAACGACGGAGGCGCTGTCAAGCATCTCAAAAGATGAATTTAGACAATGTTTTGAAAAATGGAATAAAAGACTAGACAAGTGTATTAGTGTAAGTGTAGAGTACTTTGAAGGGGATTGAAGGTTTGTGCTTAAAATTTGAATAAATAAGTTTAAAAAAAAATAAGTTCAGTTTCTTCTGGGTACCCCCTCATATGCTCTTTCTGCATTACTAGAGAGTGATCGACGCCATACGATTTGTGAGCTGGCCTGAGAGACAGGATTAGCACATACGACCGTGCTTCACATTCTGAAGGAATGCCTGGGCATGAGAAAAATTGCATCACGGTGGGTTCCGCATGATTTGGCGGAAATGCAGAAATGGCTATGATACGACGCTGCTCGTAACCACTTGGAGTGCTATGAGCACAAAGGAGAGGCTTTCTTACACCATATCATTATGCCGGATGAGACATCGGCCAAATCGTACAAGCCACAAATGAAACGCCAATCGGACGAATGGCGTCATTACAGGTCACCACGAAAATCAAAAGTTTGTCAGAACCCCAGCAATGTGAAAGTTATGGTGATTCTCGTGTACGACTGTGATGGTGTTATCTTAACATAAACCGTTCCCTGACAGCAGACCATCAATGCACAGTATTACTGTTCATTTCTGGAACACAACCTGTGACCTGCTTTGAGAAAGAAGCGGCTACACTTTCTTCAGAACCCACCCATCATTTTGCAGGACAATGCTCGGCTGCATGCAGCACAAGCTGTGGCTGATTTCTTCGATCGCTGGGGCTGGGAAGTGCTGTACCATCCACCATACTACCCGGACTTAAGCCCTTGTGACTTCGACTTGATTCCTAAAGTGAAGGAACCACTTCGTGGCATTCGCTTCAGAACTATTCCAGAGATTCTTCAGGCAGTAGACTGCTCCATTCGAACTATCAACACAACAGGCACTGCTAAAGGTATCCTACAACTTCCCCATCTCTGGCAACAGGTTGTACACAATGCTGGTGACTACACTGAAGGACAGTAAAACTTTGAAACATGCATCTATTTTGTATCAGTTGTAAATAAATAGTTGCCACTATTAAAGTTCCAACCCTCGTATGTTGGGACAATACTGGATACTACACAAGAAATTCAAATTATTTCCTGATGTACCAACAGTGGAATCCACATTTAATGTATATCAATTTAAGATTTACCTCACTTTAGTCCTCATATCTGATGCTACCGAAATAAACCTTAAATGTAGCTTTCACTGCAAAAGGTAACATGGCAGTGTTGCATAGTTATGGGATTAACTAAACAGGAGAGAATACATGTAGAATAAAAAATAGTTTTAAATTTTATCAAATTATAAAAGGAATAGTAGGGAACACAGAGATTCCAAAATGCTACAGGACAACCATCCTTCAAATATACTTTAAACTGATATTAACATGTAATACCCAAATACCGAGCATAAGAAAGAGAAGCAAAAGTAAAATCAAAGCAATGGATGCACAATATTGGGGAGAAGTAAGGGCTAAAGAAGGAACAAATTGAAGAATGACGTCTTCTGTGACGCAGCATCATGCAGATCTTCTGCAAACCGACATTTTAGAGGAATGTATCATCTCCATTTTCAGGGTAGAAAAATCCGCAAGTAAGGAACCAGTGTGGGTAGGTGGCTCATGGAAACATCAGTTCACACAAGATCTACACAGTGCCACATCCCAGAAGACTGCAATCTTCATAGTCACCACCATGAAAACCTCAAATCTTACAAGGAGCAAATATTTTACATTCACATGTGCATGCATAAAAAACGTGGTTAATTTAGAATTTGTTAAGAGAGTGTGATTAAAATACAGTAAACCCTCACTAATCTGAATATACTATTTGGGGTGGGGAGGTCACCTGAATTAAGCAATAATCCACATTAGTATAAAGCAAATGGTAGCCCTAAAAGACAAAAAAACTTAGAACATAGTTGAAAATGTAATGATATAAGTAGTGCTGATGAAAATTAATAAAAAAATATCACTGTGAAGCCTTTACTTAAAAACTATAAAAAGACAAAATATACTTCCATTGATGGGACATTCAGAAGTGTACATGTTTTTGAATGTAATAATGTAGGTCTGAAAAAGATGTCAATTTTTCTCTGAACAACCAAGTGACTCATCTACCTTCCTAAATGCCACGTGTCTTTTAAAGTACGTAATCAACTGTTAACATTTTTTAATTTTCATATTTCGATCCAGATTATCCAACATCTGGATTAAGTGTCACCAGATTGGAAAGAGTTTATTATAAATGAAAAGCACCTCCACAGACAGACTGTGATAACAGACCACACAAATGGGGCACAATCCTGGATGTAAATGGCACATTTGGCCTCATGACTGCACTTCCAAAGTATGGAACAATACTCAAAATACAAGGTCCGACGATTTAATTCCTGGAATGGCCGTGGCATGTTGCTGAGGTGTTGAGTCAGGCAAACTTGTGTATCCAAGCACATCTGGACATGTTCCAACTTACATTTACATGAGCCACAGACCAAATGAGTCATTCATTCCCAGCAGCAGAGAAAGCAGTATGTCTCCATAGTATATGGTTGGCAGAAAAATGAGAGACAAGAATCTGGAGCAGTGGATAAACATCAAGTTTTGTGTGCAGATTGGTAAAAGTGCTAGTGAGACATTAGCCCTATTAACAGTGGCTTATGGTGAATATGCTATCGAAAAACATTGTTTGGAATGGCATAGGTAGTTGAAATAAGGACAAAAAGATGTGCAAGGTTACCCAAGAAGTGGGCAGCCAAAAATGCAAAAGACAGACACAAATGTGGACAGAGTTCATTGTTCAAGGACAAACAGTGAATCAACAGTGTTATTTGGAAGTGTTGACAAGGTTACAGGAATCTTTTCAGAGGAAAAGACCTGAACTCTGGCATGACAAGTGGATTCTCCACCACGACAATGCTCCTGTGCATGATGCATTAGGAGTTTGCAACTTCCTGGCTAAGAAATCCATTACTAAAGTGGACCATCCACCTTATTCACTTGACTTAGCCCCATGCAATTTTTTATTCTTCCCAGAATTAAAATATACCCTGAAGGGACAAAGACTTGCTGACACACCTGACATCCAACACAACGTGACATTACTGCAAGGTGTTCCAGAAAACAATTTTCAAGGCTGTTTCCAGCAGTGGCACCATCATCTCACGCAGTGCATAGCTTCAAAGGAGAGTATTTCAAAGGTGACAGAGACCACTTGTGCAAGGTAAATAAATTTTACTTTCACAGGGTCATTCTGGGATTTAAACTGTTGCACCTTGTATACCCAGCCCCACAATGCCCAAGAACACACACTCATAGTCTTCACTTTGATAGACTGTTTAGATTTATGTCCTGAAGATGATTCAACGTTTGAAACCAATAGCACTTTCATCTGTAGCTATTTCGCTGCCTGATGTACAATGTTCGTAATGAAGATACATAGCTACAAGTTTTAGTTTATCTATTCCTGGGGTACTTGGAGGGCATAATTAAAGTAAAAGTAAAGCTATCCCTGTACCAGGCCATGAAGGCCCATAGGGTTGTGAGATGCTGAGGGTCCCACAAATAGACAATCGGCTCAAAGATGGCGGTAAGGTTGTCAACCTTACGCGCCGGCTGCGCTTTACTCCCCAGGAAAATTATTTAATCAATTCCTAGTACTCATTTCTGTTAGAGGCTGAGTCAACCCCAGGGTCATAGTGCAGCTGGAAGGATTAGGTCAATTGAAAAAAATCCAATGACCTCATCAGGATTTGAACCCGCAACCCTCCGGCTTGTAGCATAGCCCCTCAACCAACTACGCTACTGCACACCCCATGGAAGGCATAAGTGCAATAACCAAAATAGTTTAAAAACTCAGTACCATCTGAACACATCTTTGAAAAAGAAAAGGTGTTTTGTTGAACCAAGGGTTAGAAAGAGAATCTGTCCTCTCAGTTTCATCATTTGCATTCCTATTCATATGCATTCCCACGAAAGCACTCGACTCTTCCACAGGGACATCTCAGTAAGAATGCCTGATACAGCAAGCTGCTAGAGGTGACACATTCTGTGTTCTTTAGCCAGCATACCTATCTCTTTCATTCAGAATTTCTTCTAGTAGTTTATGTGTAGAATATGACATGGAAGAGTCTATTTCACAACTCAACTGTGCAGTAGGGGCCTGAAGACCAACTGTCCTGCAACGTATAAGGAAAACTTCGGAAGTCTGCATGTGTTGTGATGTAATCTGCTGTCTCTTTGTCACATGGTCCCTTGCTGCACTGCTGTCTTCCTCCTCCCTTGCTACCACTGTGACCACTTTCTTCAGAAGCATGTTCACTTTCATCCAACATCAATGTCACTCTCAGAATTATCCAATATAATTATGTTTCTTCCCCTGAAAACCTAGTTCTGCAAGTGCAAACACCACTTGTACAAGCCATATTTGTTCAACATCATACATAACACAGAAGAAAAGATTCCTAGAGTTCTGAGCAGGCACTGAAACACTCACACCCACCTATCAGCTATGTAGAGTATTAAGTGTAACTCCTACACCGCCAACCATGCACATTTCGTCATAATGAACCACAGCAACCTCAAAATAAACATGGTGCACTGAGTGTCCCATAGGACGGGCACAGGGAAGATAAAAATGGCACATCCAGTGTGCCTGTGGATGGGAAAGGGTTAATGATGCTTTCTGTACTGAGATTATAAAATGTTGGATGGTAGGACAAATGACAAAATGAAAAGGATTTGGAAGGAAGCAGCCATGGCCTAACTGAGATAACACCCTAGCAATTACCTCAAGAGACTGAGGAAAACCATGGAGAAACCTCAGCCTGTATAGCTAGTGTCCGAGCACCTCCCAAATACAAGTAGAGAGTGTTACCTCCAGACCAAACTGTTTGGTGCAAAATTATAACCATAACAGAAGATAAAACGAGAACTATACAGATGTATGCAGGACGAATTCAACAATAGAAATGAATAGAGATCAGCTATTAACTCTACATTCTTCTGACTCTGTATGCATGGTAATAAGCAATGTAAGAACACAGGCAGCGCCCACTTATCTATATTTATGGTTTGCTTCACAACACTTTTCTTTGTGTGGGATATTTAATGGCACTTCCAGGAATCAGAGTATACAGTGTCAGAAGGCAGAATCATAGATGAATGATGAACTGGAAAGGATTTGTAGGGAAGTGGTCATGGCATAATTGAACTACTACCTTGGCACTTCCCTGGAAGGACTGAGGAAAACAAAGGAAAATCTCAATCAGAATAGCCAGCGTCTCTGCCAAGATTCAAACCAAGCACCTCCTGAACACAAGAGTAGAGCATTCATTCTGGACCAACTTGTTCACTAGGTAGCTCTCAGTAGCTAAGATTACATAATGAACTGGCAAAGACGTGGAAGGGAGCTGTCAAGGTTTACACTCAAGTACTACCCCAGCATTTGTCTAGAGGGAAAAACAACAGAAACCCTCCATCAAAATAACCTATCTCCAGATCAAGATATAAACCCAAGATCTCCTGAATACAATGCCAGAATACTAAACACTTGACTGCAATACTAACACTTCTGACAGAGAAGGCAGCGCTCATCTGCATGGCTTCAGTTCAGCTGGAGTTCGTGTTCTGATCCCCACACTCTTTTGCGGCCATTGGTTGTTACTTGAAATCAAACATCTTTATATTTGGACTGACAGCCAAAGAGACTGCATCAATGCCAAATAAAATTCAGCTCACTTAATCCATATAAATACTGTATGTGAAGCAATTTATTCCATGACTTTGTTCCAAAGCACTTACCTGAATGTGAGTCTCGTATCTGCATGATTTATCATACTGAACACTGAAATCTTGAAACGACAGATCCACTAAACCTTGTTCTCCAGAGCCTAAATCACCTCGTAGCTCTACTGTGAATACTGGAAGATCAAATGATACTGAAACACAGAAACAAATTTGAGTGAAATCCTCTTCGCGAAGTTTTCCCTTAGTTTGTGTACAAATTACATGATTCATCCAAATTATTTTAGTACTAAACTGTGTGGTTTATATAAATTACCTTTCAGTGTCAGTGTGTGCTGGTTCTCAATTTTTGGCTTCCCAGCGCTGACATTCAGCATCCTTGCTCTCAGTGCTGGGTCCATATTGAGTGTCGACACGCCAGTATGTAGCTCTCCTTCCTCCTCCTTTATATCGACCAGACGACGACTGCTGAACAAGATGGTCTCCTCAGAGACTGAGTGGACCATGAGGCTGTCCAATGTAGCCAGCAACTGCTCATACTGCCGACGAGACAGCGATACTTTCAGTGGAGTCACAACACCACCTGATATCTGAAGCACACAAATATTATGCTTATTAGACAATTCTGCATCCACTGGAGAGACTGTCCAATGTGTCCAGCAACTGCTCATACTGCTGAGGAAACAGCGACACTCTCAGTGGAATCACACCACTACCTGACATCCGAAGCATACAAATATTATGCTTAGTAGACAATTCTGCATCCGCTGGAGAGACTCTTCAACATCAACTACGATGGTAAGATGATGCTAAACTGTGAAGGACGTGGCAGCTGTCACTCTCTGTTCCAACAAACTGTCCCAAAACTTGCCTGTCTACAGTCATGCCTAAATCATGACAATATAAATCTCAGTCAGGCTATGGACAGGAGCAAGGAGCATGGTGCTATACATACACTGGGAAGGGAGCACATGGTTAAGCAGAGGGACTGGGAGAAAAGAGGTGGAGTTCAGTCTTCACAGTTGAAGTTGTGGGGGAATTTGATCATTTTGACAGCTTCCCTGTTGATGTTTGTGTTAAGTGTGGATTTCTGTCTGGTCTTCAATTTCATCAAACGTGATGACATCCAATTTCAGTGAAGTGCTCAAATACTGCTCATTCTGAGTTCTGTAGTCTGGTGCATCTGATGTGCTCAAAGTTTCCAGTGGAGATGTGATGGCCAGTTTGGCCAATGTACACTCTCCCATATGAGCAGCCAATTGGAAAATTGCTGATCAAGGCTAATGACTTGATCTATAGCATAATAACTTGCACAATATCATAAGCCATACCATACTTGGTGTATGAAGTAGTATATGTAAAGCATGTTATCAATCAATAAATGGGATGTGGTTTTTACCTGCACAACATCTTGCTTCTCTATATCTTGGAACTCTGTGCCAGTATCTTCACCCATGAGCAATGTTGGTAGGCTGTCGGATTCTTTCATTACACTGCGACCTATATCACGATCTATGGTGAGATGGATAACAGTATTATGAAGTACTGGTTTCCCATCCTCAGCACAATTATACAGAATCTCAGCACGCACCAGAGAGCAGTCCCCATCTGGACTGAAACACCATTCAATAAGGATGGACATCAACAAAAGGCATAATCTAGATCTACTATGATCCTATATGCCAAAAGCTTGGAAGATACTGTAACCAAGGAAATGTTTCACATTGTATTACAGCGTATGGAAATCCTATTTGTTCAGCATCATCCTATGCACCCCATCACCAAGAAAGCATATTTTTTAAGCAGCTTCTTATTTGAAGAATCCCGTCATCTGGGATGTGGCGCCATGTAGCTCTTGTGTGAACTGATGTTTCGGAGGGACATATCACCTCCATCTTCTGGGTAGAAGAATCCGTGAGTGGGGAACCAGCATGAGCAGGTGGCTAGCAGACTCTGATATGTACCTCCGAAACATCGGTTCACACAAGATCTACTTGGTGCCACATCCCAGAAGACAGCATTCTTCATGGTCACCACTATAAAAACCTCAAATCCTACACAGCTTATTACTTATTTTCTCAAAGTATGTGGAACCATTCTGCTGTACTAACTACTAACTCCCATTTGCCTGGAAGGACTGAAGAAAAAATAGAAACTCCTTAGGCATCACACCTGGTCTTCAGGCTGAGATTTTAAACTGGGACATCAAAAATAATAAGCATGACTGCTATAATTGGAAGGACACAAATAATACACATAAGAATAAAACTTTCAAACAGCAAATATTCACAGCATTTTAACTCCCTTAAGTACAACAAAGACCACCCAGTGCCAGACACATGTCCACACCTGGAAACACAACTCTGTCATGTTAAAATCATTTAATTGCTGCAACAATATAAAGAATATAAGCTGGCCTCAGGTGTGAAAAGCAGATACACAAAACACATTGACAATTCCTGCTCTACCATCCCTTGCATAATCTGTTGCTACAGCTACCTACACAGTAACACACTAAGCACTGGATTTTGGGACTGTGGATTGCAGAATACAAGTATTATTATGAATAATTCATGAGTACATCAAACCTATGGCACAAGCACCTCAGACAGTGAACACTGCTGGAGTTGGCAGCAACATAGACTTACTGCAGATTTGAAGTATCCTTGGTGCTTCTCTTCTCCGTGTCCAGAGAATACAAGTTCATATCTCGAATTTCAACATTATATCTCTCTCTCCTGCTCATTCCCCACAGATCTTCACGGTCTTGCAAATCTGGACTAGATATATGGTGGTTGTTGACTGTTATTTTGCCAAGATGAGCAACAAACACTTCATGACTCTCCGGTGAACGAGGCAGCACCACCACAGGTGTGTCAAGAACAATATCCAAGCTGAAAATTTAGTTTGTTTATTGTAAGAATTAGTGTCCGGTCACTGTTTGTGAGCATCACAACATATGGTAGCTAAAACTTTAAAGGGAGAACGGCAATCAAAGTAGGAAATTACAGTTTACTCGTACAACAACAAAGAGAAAATGGAATGAGGACGTCAACCACGTCAAAAAAAAAACAACACTCATACATCGCTACATGTGATAGCCAAGGCTACCACATGTACTTGGCAAGAGTACAGAGTCAATTTCACAGTACCTTTAGGAGTTCTCTATTAGTAAGAGGTGAAGAAATAGGAAGCAAAAACTTACATTTGCATACAAGGACTGGATAAAAAGTAGTGGCAACACTGCTGTAACATGAAAGATGTGCATCAGGTGGCACTAGCACCATCTGTAGCTGATTGCAGAAGTTCAGTTGAAGTAGAGCAGTGAGTGGCTCTGGTTGTATTTCATTGAGTTGCATTGTGCATTGTCTTGAAGTTCAGGAGCCCAGTTCAAGCACCTTAACAGCATGTTTACAAAACAAGAACAACGCTCCTGGATAAAAATTGAAGTTGTACAAGGTCATGGTGCACAAAACTGTTATCAGGGACTGCCAGAAGCATGTGGTGATGCCGCTTTGCCATATCGCACAGTGGCACGATGGGTGAAATTGTTCCGTGAAGGGAGGGATGCCATTCAGGACAGCCGTCGTTCAACGCGACCCCATGTTGACAACCACACAATTCAGCTTCTTGGTTCTTTGCTGGATTTCGATCATAGATGGGCTGGGCGGGAGTCAGCTGCTGAGGTAGGCGTATGTCACGAAACCGTGCTCCACATTCTGCATGATATTCTTGGATACTGCAAAATTGCAACACGTTGGGTACCCCATACAATGTCCAAGGTGCAACAATGGCAACGTTATGCAATTGCACAGGACTTGTTGGACTGGTACCAGAAGGAAGGTGACGGCTTCCTTGGAAGCATCGTCAATCTGGACGAAACTTGGGCTCGCTCATATGAACCGCACTTGAAGCGATAATCAAATGAATGGAAGCATCCTGGCTCTCCTCATCCAAAGAAAGTGCACCCTACACAGAGCATTGTGAAGGCAATGTTCATTGTGGCATATGACAGTGATGCAGTGATCCTGCACCACACTGTACCTCAACGAGAGACAGTAAATGCTGCCTACTACTGCAATTTCTTGCGTAATCATCTTTGTCCAGCACTCAGGAGAAAGTGATGACACTTGTTGGCAACAAACCCCATCATCCTTCGTGACAATGCTCATACTGCTGACGCTGTCAAGGATCTCCTTCGCTGCTGGCGATGGGAGATACTGCAACATCCGCCATACTCACCCGATATGAGTACATGCGATTATGATCTCTTTGCCAAAATGAAAGAATCACTGTGAGGGACACGTTACAACACAAGAAAGGAGATTATTTGTGCTGTAGGGCGGTCACTGCTGGACATGAAGAGAAGTGGATGCGCTGATGGTGTACGACGCCTTCCACAAATTTGGCAGAAGGTGGTACATATGGGGGGCAATTATATTGAAGGAATGTAAGTGTGTTTACCTCAGGTAATAAAGTCATTTCAGAACTATAGAGGTGTCGCCACTACTTTTCATCTGACCTCTGTATATACCAGACACTGCCTTCAAAACAGTTTTTCTCTCACATTAAATCAGCATGTTCCTCATGTTGCATATCACTAGTAAGACATAAATTGACCTAATACTAACTTGACATCAAGCAGCAGATTGAGAGAGTCCTCGTCCATGCTGGGGCTGTATGGTGTGTGTGGGGTAGTACCCCTGGTACTAGACATCCCTTCTAGGTGTTCAAATGACTGTGAAAGGCTTCGCCTTCTTCGGCGAGGTGACATTTCCCAGCCTGATCCACCATACAATGAAGAAGACAAGCGGCTGTTCATATACAGAGTTTGTGCCAAAGCTTCTGTCCTGAAAGATAGTGCTAAGTGTGAGATTACCAGGCAGCATGAAAATTAAACTTCTGTAAAACTCATGGCTTCCATTACATTCCTCTAAAAATTATATAAATAATGGAAAACATTAAGTTCTGAGTCACACAAATGATCCTTGATAAGATAAATATTCTGTCCTTCCTGCTGCATTTTGTTGAGACACCAAACCACCCACTGTACCTGAAGCATTGGGGGGCACTGCTTAAAACAGCACGACAGAAGCACAGAATTCCATCATGAGAAAATGGATAAGTTTCATTTCTGGGAGGGGGAAGGGTGTAACTACTCAAGCTCATTAGTATGGATTGGATTTCAATGCAAATTAATATTTCTTTCTTGCAACCATGCTCATTTGGATATATGTATGAATTATTTCATTTCTTAAATTTTAGACATGGTCTGATGGTACATATAAATGCATATTTTGCCTGCTTTATGAATAAGCATACTATCTTCAAAGATCTCTATTTATGCTGCATGAATGTTTATCATTATACACATTTTTTAATTTTATGTTCACATTTTGAATCATCATCAAGTGTATAATTTTTCTTTTCCATATTAGGATATTCTGCATATTTGACTCACAACATTTCATCATACAAAGAGCAAGGGGAGTCTGGATTCATGTTTCTGACACAATACACAGGACAGGACTGCCCCAGTCCCTCTACTCATAACTTGCCTCATCTGTATACCATCGAAGTCGTTGCAAAGGGATTAGTCACAAGCATACTCACATGCAGCCGCTGTCAATGTACTACCATTCAAACTGACAGTGGACTTCATTTATTTATTTATTTCTGAAGTCTCCATCAGTTTCACTACGCTTCTTCAATTTGAGCTGGGCGTCATTCATATTAGTGGTGACTAGTCTGTGGTTAAGTTACTACCAACATAATTGGGAACAAAAGACATATTTCCAACAGAAAAACTAATCATTTGTGAAACTGTTTTTTGTGGATTAGCAACCAGGAATGATAACACCATTATAGAAATGCTAATTGCAGAGAATAGCGTCTGTTACTGAGTGGTTATCGACAGAAACTAATGTTACACAAGAGCACTTAAAAAGGGAGACACCTGAAATAAATCCAGGACAGTGGGATATTATATGAAAAAAACGAGACTGTCCCAGGAAAAACAGGATGAATGGAAACCCTAAGTCATCCTTATGGCAGTTTCAGCAGGACTAACTTCTTAAACAGGAAATCTTTGTATCCTGGAACTTATTTACAAAATACTGTACATATTTAGGTTCTGTAACTGGGCTCTCCCAGTGAAACTTTCTAACTAAAATTCAGTTAGCATTCCTTGTTTTCCATGCATGCTACATGTTCCACTCATTTCATCTCCCTTGATATAATTACTCTAACAATATTATTCTTGCTGGAGTAGTGAGGTTCTCACAGCAGTAATTATAAAGAGTTCTACCTTCTGGATATAATGCTGTGTAGTCTAATGAAATATGGTGTAATATCCCAGAAGACAGAACTCTTTAATATTATTCTAAGCTAAAGTGTACAACTTTGGGAGCCCATCAGAAAAAAAAAAAGCACATCTTTATCCTATAACCCGCTAAGTGAGGGGTCAGAGATGAAGTATGAACCTAAAGACAAGATGATTTCGATTTTTTTTTTTCTTTATAACAGATTTTCTTTATTTTCTGGTTCAATGTGATTTACACCTTATGTGTGATATGCACTGCCTGGTTGTGGCTTACTGCATACCTCAGGAGACAATAACAGATGGGCATGGGGTGAAATAGTGACTTCAGGTGAAGACAAAAGAAGAAAAAAAGAAAAAAAAAAAAGAGAACTCAGAGGAACCAGCTTCAGTGTCACTTCATCAACCATGAAACTCATACCAAGCCACAATATTTTGTTCTCAAACATCTTCAACTTCTGTTTCTTATGGTAACAGCCAAAATTTCACACCCATACAAAACAACATGTTAACTTATAAACAGTATACACAGTGTGCTCAACATTGGAAACAATACCTGGCATGCACTAATCCTATTGCCATTTCTGTAGCAGCAGACTTGATGGAACGGGCCACATTGGTTAAGTACTGTTTGAATTCAGCCACACATGACTGAAGCTCTGCCAGAAATTGTGGAGAATGAGTGTACCAAACTGATGCCATGCGCACTTTGATCTCCGCACAATCTGCAATGACAAGTATCATGTCAGTTCAGCAATAAACTACAATTCAAACACAACACAAACAGCTCAAATGGGACGCTAACAATTAATAATAATGCCACCTTCATGGCTTATGAACCACTTCCGGCTCAATAAAGTGGGTAGGTAATGAGGATTTCCACTCATGTGTAGGGTTACACAACACAAGAGCGAACACGGGTAACTGCATACAGCAGAGTCTGTGCTGAGCAGTGACTAACAGCTCAGCAGCTCAAAACAATTCACACCTCTTACAAAACCTTAAGGTTCATTACCTTCTTCAAGGAGTGCATCCTGTTGTGTTAACTTATATTTATTTGTTTTTCCTGTCTCAACACAACAAGTATCAAAATCACATTCACATTTACTGTGCATAATGGGTTTATTGATATTACTGGTATGGCAGTATGCTACATGTTTTGGCTTATAAAGCTATCATCAGGCAGTATACACTAACAACTATTCTCAAACTACCGAACTGCATTTTATATGTATTCATATATTACAATATAACATTTATTACTAATGTATCTGACTTTACATATAGTTAATATATTCAGCATTTTGTTAGAATTAACACCATTCTTATAAATATATTAAATTGGAATAATAGTTTTATGTTAAAAGGGTGCCTTGAGATATACATAAAGGTGTCTATAAGAAAATAAAACAATATAAAAAATAATAAATGTTTTTAAGTCATAAAATACACTCAGAGGATGGATTAAAATGTTGCTCATTATGTCATGTTTAAATATACATAAATACTGTTCATGTTGGTGTCCACCCTTCTATTGCACAAACAATCTGCAATTAAAGCACTTGACAATTACCAGATCAACTTAAACTGGTTTGCAACTGCCATCAATTCCTTGCAAAACTGGATGAACATAAGAGTGTTCAACTGATACGGGTGCTGGGTCACAGGAGTAGCGAGGGTAATGGAACTGCTGGTCAATTGACAAGATTGGAATCCAAATGTACTTTCAAAGGACCTGAACCAGCAAGTCATGACCTAGTGGGTGGTCAGCTTGGTCTCATCTCAGATTCATGCATGTATGCACTGCTTGATCATACTGGTCACCAGGCAACAGGAACGGTCATGACTGAAACCCACATCCCTGTTAAACCAAGAAAACTTATGACTCCAACTGGCCTGCAGTTGGAGTTGATCACAGGTTGTTGGTATAGAGGTGGAAAGTTAGCATGGTTTGGCTAAAGCATCACATTAGATCCCAGTGATGGCTCCTGAAACATCAGTGATTTTTAACCAAGTGACATGCCTGACACTCCCAGAAGGTATCATTAATGGGCTGGGAAATCCCTCAGCTGTCATATATGAATGTTGGAGCAAAACTAAAACATTCGTTCCCAGTTCTGTCAACAGATGAAAACTGTCATAATACCAAAAAAATGTAAGAAATTAACATCTGAGAAAGTGAGTTGTAAGAGTAAAAAAGATTTTATTCTTATGGGCAGAGACCACACATCCAAATTCCAAAAAGTGGCCAACAAACACTGATGTATTTCTTTCTCCTCAAAGTGAAATAGTTGGGCAACCAAGTTCATAACAACTGACTTCATTCACTAATATCTGTTTGGCAATTTACCTGACTCTGCCCTTTCTAGAGGTCTCCGCACACTGAAACTGAATGCCCGACTGTCTTCAGAACTCTCCATGGGCTGCTGACACATGATGTACAACTCTGCATCAAGGCGGCTTACAAGATCAACATTCCTCTGTACAAGGGGATCTTTTCCAAGACTCAAGATTCTCTGGTGCAACTGGCCTTCAGGAGTTAGGTCAAGCACTTGGAGGCCTCCAAGGGATCCCTGTACCTCCAAATCTCTCCCTACACAGTCCATTGCAATTTTGCAACAACAGCACTGTATTAATACTTACTTTAGTGTTTTAGTATAATGTTGGGCTATCTTATGGAAACCTTACCAAAGATATTCTGTCATTCTCATTTTCTCCAGAGAAATATGAGGTTAAGTCAATAAGTAAGTTACAAATGGATATAGAACTTAAACAAATACGAGTACTGCTTTGAAAAATGCTTTTATTTCTCAACATAATATCCCTGTACATTGAGGCACTTGTCCAACGTTTCACAAGCCCCTGAAAACCAGCGGCATAAAATTCTTTGGGCTGCTGTCCAAACCAGGCGGTGCCACCTTAAACTTTTTTTTGGCAGGCAACGCAGGATGTTTCCACTGCATTGACGCACACTTTATCTCGGGCTGGTAATGGTGAACCCAAGACTCATCACCTATGACAATTCAGGCTAGCATACTGTGTCCTTCATCATGGTAGCAATTGAGATGCTGTAATGCCAGACCAATTCTTTGCATTCTGTGTTGTGGGGTCAGCATAAGCGGCACCCATTGTGCAGACTTTGTGAAAACCTAACCTGTCATGCATTATGAGGTAGGCCATGCTGTGTGAACAAGCAATAGCAGTGGCTATAGTGGCTATAGTTACCCTTCTGTCTGCTCAGATTAAGTCTTCAACCCGTTGCACATTCGCCTCTGTAGCAATCTCCGTGGCTCCAAGCGACTTCCATTTGTTCGGCCCTGTTAAACATCATCTTTCAGCTGAACATTTTCCCGACGATGAAGCTGTAGAAAGGGAAGTCACCGCCTGGTTCTGACAGCAGCCCAAAGAATTTTATGCTGCTGGTTTTCAGGGGCTTGTGAAACAATAGGACAAGTGCCTCAGTGTACAGGGAGATTATGTTGAGAAATAAAAGCATTTTTCAAATCAGTGCTCTTATTTGTTTAAGTTCTATATCCATTTGTAACTTACTTATTGACTTACCTACGTACATTTGCAAAAAACACAAAAATGTGTAATATCCTCTTATTTATATGACTGCAGCCCTCTGTTTATTTTTAAGCCTTAACCTTTTCTGGTCGGCATATTTGGAAAAATATCTGCAGCCAGGACGAGAAGGGTTTTTAAATGCCTGCTGAGCCACTAAGTGAAGTGTTTTTTTGCCCAAAAAGTTGGTGCAACAAGGGCATAAATTTAAAAAGCAAACTGTGTGGCTACATTTTCAATTGCGCAATTCTTGGGCCAACTCAGCGCTGCTATACTATCTGTCAGTGAAATTGTGGTACCAAGCTATATTATCTGTCAGTGAAATGGTGGTACCAAGCTATATTATGTCAGTGAAATGGTGGTACCAAGCTATATTATCTGTCAGTGAAATGGTGGTACCAAGCTATATTATCTGTCAGTGAAATGGTGGTACCAAGCTATATTATCTGTCAGTGAAATGGTGGTACCAAGCTATATTATCTGTCAGTGAAATGGTGGTACCAAGCTATATTATCTGTCAGTGAAATGGTGGTACCAAGCTATATTATCTGTCAGTGAAATGGTGGTACCAAGCTATATTATCTGTCAGTGAAATGGTGGTACCAAGCTATATTATCTGTCAGTGAAATGGTGGTACCAAGCTATATTATCTGTCAGTGAAATGGTGGTACCAAGCTATATTATCTGTCAGTGAAATGGTGGTACCAAGCTATATTATCTGTCAGTGAAATGGTGGTACCAAGCTATATTATCTGTCAGTGAAATGGTGGTACCAAGCTATATTATCTGTCAGTGAAATGGTGGTACCAAGCTATATTATCTGTCAGTGAAATGGTGGTACCAAGCTATATTATCTGTCAGTGAAATGGTGGTACCAAGCTATATTATCTGTCAGTGAAATGGTGGTACCAAGCTATATTATCTGTCAGTGAAATGGTGGTACCAAGCACACTGAGTCATAATCTGTTCATCAAGGAAAGAACTACTCTTGAAATTAATGGTTTTTCAGAGCATGGCAAGTTACATATGTTACCTGTACATTTCCCATAACTTTGAATTATACTGTGAACATAACTAGTTCCACTGTCAGCTAATACAAATAATCTGATTCTCCACTTCGATGGTCTTTTGGACTATAAGTTTCGAAAATTATTTTGCGCTTGAACCCAACTGTTGATACATCTATTGCAATGTTTTTACCTGGAACAAAATTTTTCTGAAACTGTTTCTATATATGTTCTATCACACAATGTACTTTCATGTTCTTCTGATGGCCCAATTGCTTTATTCAGTGGTATCATTTCCCCACTTGTACCATCCAAAATATCTGTAAAAAGCAATCTCTGGGCATTATGTCACCAAAAAATTTTATCTGTGTTTTCCTCTCACTAGACCAGTAGTCTTTTATGTCGAGTAATCAGATTAGGACCATATTTAGAATTATACCTAAAAGCCCCTTCACTTCAGGAACTGACACATGGGATCACCTACCCCAAATGCACTTTGGGCTAGGCTGAAGTTCCAAAATTTTGTCTCGCATATCTGTTTGCCTCTATAACAATGTTATTCAAAAGCTCATCATTGAAAAATAATCTAAAATGATCCATGGGCTCTGCATCTTGTAGAAGGTTAAAATGTGGCCCTGCATTTTTAATAAATGCGTATGCCTTGGGTTTCTTGTCACCCATTATCACGTCTTCCCACCCATCAATATGCGCAACGCTTGTTTCACTTTCACACTTGCTTTCCAACAATGCATTTCTCAATTCTTCACTTAATTTGTCCTTCATTTTCCAAATTTATCTCATCATCAGCGTCTATATCAAGTTCTTCATTTAACATATCACATCTTCATCCTCGGCACACACTGGATTATACAGGATGGGGCGCAGAAACTTCCTTTTTTTGAAGGCAAATGAAAGAAAAATTATTGCTGATAGACAAAATTTATGTTTAGCCAATGAAAGAACATACTTTAAAGTTTAAAATCATGTAGGTTTAACAAAATATCTTGAAGGTGGTGGCCACCGTTCTCTATGCACTGATGTAACCGTTTTCTGAAGTTCCCTTCTGCATGTTCCAACATGTGCACCGGAATTTGGGCTACTTCCTGCCAAATAACATTTTTCAGCTGAAGCAGGTTTGTGGGGCGATGTTTAAAAACCTCTGCCTTGAGGTATCCCCATAAAGAAAAAATCACAGAGTGTTAGATCAGGTAAGTGCGCTGCCCACAGCATGTCACCTCGAAGCGAGATGAGCTGACCAGGGAACTTTGCCCTCAAAACTGTCATTGAAGCTCGGGCTGTGTGGGACATGGCACCATCCTGTTGGAACCAGACATTTCCTAGATGCATTTCTTCAAGAGCTGGTTCGAAAAAGATCTCAAACTCGACTGTCAGACTGCCTCCACATTTTTNCCAACATGTGCACCGGAATTTGGGCTACTTCCTGCCAAATAACATTTTTCAGCTGAAGCAGGTTTGTGGGGCGATGTTTAAAAACCTCTGCCTTGAGGTATCCCCATAAAGAAAAAATCACAGAGTGTTAGATCAGGTAAGTGCGCTGCCCACAGGATGTCACCTCAAAGCGAGATGAATTGACCAGGGAACTTTGCCCTCAAAACTGTCATTGAAGCTCGGGCTGTGTGGGCCATGGCACCATCCTGTTGGAACCAGACATTTCCTAGATGCATTTCTTCAAGAGCTGGTTCGAAAAAGATCTCAAAATCGACTGTCAGACTGCCTCCACATTATTTGGCGTCATAACGGTCCGTTGTCATCCTGATGATTTTTTCACCACACTCCTGGTTGTCCTAAAGTTCTCTGCCCACAAAACAATCGATTTCCGGTCGGGAGCCGGACCTCTGGGCTTAATTCCGAAGTGAGTACAGAACACACACTGCACCGCCACGTAGGAATGGTAGTTCGAAAAATAGGCTTCGACAGCAAACGCACGCTGCTCCCTCGCCCACCTCACATTTCCTACTGAGGGGTATTAGACAGAAACTTCCACGGCTGCTGCATTCGCTGAGCCTATCCCCTTTTCTGTGACATCCCCTCCCTTCACAATGCGTCTTCACAAAAAGGAAGTTTTCTGCGCCCCACCCTGTATTTATGTTTTTTTCATATCAGAAGGCAGAAGTCTACCTGTACATAAAGCCATGTGATAACACTGATAGGCAGTAATATATAAATGTCATTCGTTACTCAAAAAGTTAAAATTATGACTTCCAGATGACAGGAGGAGGCAGACAAAACATTCATGCATGTGTTGGTATAGTCTACAGTGTCAAGTAGCGATGTATGATCAAAATACTACTGCAGAAACATGAAACAAACTTTTGTCAGTCATATATCGACATTTGTCCATGGAAGCAGTCACCATGTCAGTTATATATCAACATCTGACCAGAAAGGGTTAAGACTACCATCACATAAACATACATTTAAAATCTTTCAGTTTTATATTTCTAATTACAAAATTATTTTTATTCATCAGATATAATAGAAACCAAGCTAAAGTTAAATCAAACAAAAATAATGAAAACCAAAATCAAACTATGAAATTTGAATAAAATGGAGACACTTTTTCCTATTTCAGTAAACAAAGTGGAGTAATCTCTTGATTATTCAAAGAAACAAATTCAGAAAAACTGAGAAATAACTTAAAATGTAAAGCCTTAGGATCTGACCCATTCGGTAATAGTAGCATAAACCAACTATCATGCCAAGAATGACATAAAAATATATATATGGTAAACCCACAAGACATTTAATGCCAGGTATAACAAACATGCCCATGACATAAGAACAAATGTAACATGACATAAGAACAAATGTAACATGACATAAGAACAAATGTAACAAACTCAAAATTCACTCAATATGTAACAGAAACAGGAGATTCACAGTTATTTTCAGCTCTCTTGAAAATGGTGGGTCATGAAAAATGTTCAACCTCAGATTGAAATTCAACATAATAAAAATTACTAGTCACCTATGTCTTCTAAATGAGAGAAAAATACACATAATACAAAGACATATAAATGTTATTGCTGACTAATGAGATGGAAAAATTAAGGTGACACCCATCTTAAACACAAAACTGGATACCACTCAGCTAATCCTAATCAGTCCCAGCACACAAGTTCATGTCGTATCATCCAACAAAGTATCTATCTCAATAAGGACATGTGACCAAGCAAAAGAAGCTCCTGTTTTGACTCCCACTGTCAGCTTCCAGCAAATCACTTACCAACAGTTGCCTGGACTTTGGCCTCTGTCATTGTTGCTGTTCCAATTTTTCTCCCAATTAGACCACAATCCTTCATCACAGCTCGCAATAAAAGAATGTTCAGGCGATGGAAATCAAAAGTGAGTTCAGTACGTGTGACTGCTCCTGTGTGACTCAGCCCACCACCAGCTACACTGTCTTCCTGTGGAGTTGCATATGCTTCATCCTGACTAGAAGCTGTACCACTACCAACATGAACTGGAATGCCATGTGGTGGTCGCTTGGGGCCAGGTTTCAGTTGTGGGAAAACTCGGCGGGTGAATCCCATTAGCTCCACTATGGTTTCTTGATTAGCTAAACTCAAAACAAAATAATGCATGTCTTTGGCTTTCAGGAATAAGCTGCATAGAATGATCAAGGTTTCCCAATGTTCTAGCAAATAATGTTCAGTTGCTTATGAATTTTACCCATGAGTATTATTTTGAAGGTAACATGTCAACACGAGTATGTACTGTCTGCAATCTCAAAGCCTGAAGAATGACACCTGAGAACAAATACTTCATCTCAACTCAACAAATGAGATTCAAAGTTTTCACAGCAGTAGAGATTGTTATTGTGGTCTTCTGGCTTGTGACACCATGTTCAATCTGGCAGGTTGGTACTGATACTGCTGTCTCCATCAGCAGGGTAAATGGAGGCACAAGCTCCTTTGAAACACTGGCAGCAATCTACCAGACTGCAGCAGACCATACCATAGACCTGATTTGTGTGTAACTGTTCAATTTGTTCTTGTGACACAGCAGTCAGTCAGTCTGCACATGGTCATAAATGCAGGTATGCTGATTGGGAGACATGGAATGTTAGCTCAAATTAATACAGTGAGTGTTTATCTACTTTGTTTTCATTCCACTGTGCATGGATGTATTTACTTCTGGTTCATTTAACCAGCAGCTGAATTGGGAAACGATGCGGGAGGAAATGGTCGTGTGGTAATCTGAGATGTTATCCTGGCATTTCCCTAAAGAAACTGAGGGAAGACACCAAACCATTTCACATGATTAGTCATTAGCTCTTCACCATGGTGACCTGGGTTCAATCCCAGGTCAAGTCATGTGGGACCTGTGGTGGACAAAGTGGCACTGGGGCAGGTTCTCCCAGAACATTTTGGTTTTCCCCACCAATTCTCATTCCACTAAATGCTCCATGCTCATCTTTCACCCAGGACTGACACAATAGGCCAATTAGTGGCTGATATACCAAGTGGGCTCGAGTCTTACCCCACCCCAAGAAACTAAACTAACTAACTGAGGAAAATCACAACAAACCTGAACCTGGACAGTTGGTGAACCAGTCAAGAATCTAACAAGGCACTCAATACAAGTCAGGAATTATGCATGAAGTGATAAAGGAGAATGCTGTAGTGGTACAAAGATAAAGTTGTCCCTGTGCTTAGCTAAGAACCAAGCCATGAGGATGTATGAGTAAGTTAAGTATAACTTCATGCATTATTTACCTTGGCACCATATGGAGGTGCATGGTTAGTTACATGGACCACCTGTCCCACCCCTGAGAAAAGGACCCCATTCCTTGCCACTGCACAGAAATTGTGCATGACACCTTAATGGAGTTAAATGATTTTCATTTTGTTTGGAACAATGAGAACTCCTTTAATATACTGTTTTACAAAGTTAACTCAGTCATGTGTGCATTAAGGGAACTGGAACTGCTTGGTTTCAGTGGAAGAAATAAAATTGTACTAATCATGAACGCAGAAGCACAGGACTACCCACATTAACACTCTGCGGACCAGCAATTTAAATATTTAAATCACCCTGGGGACAGCAGTTTTAAACCGACTACCTTAACTTGTGCACTGTTCACTTTAAAAATTTATATAAAATCTCCTAATTAATTTCATGAATTAAAATTTTTGGAGAACATTTACCAGTGCTCCTAGAAGTGCTTGAGAGAGTGATATTTCTGGAAACATTCCGCTTTGTGAAGTGGCATTACACAGAACTTGCACATGCAGACAGTCATACTCCTTTTTTTGTGAACTTTGCAAACACAGCACTGCCTAGAAGGATGCTTCCCCTTGGAATGTTCACTCTTCACAATTTTCATGAGGGTATGTTTCCGTATATCACCCAAGAGTCACCCAGGAGGGTCCACATGGGCCCGGTTGCACTAAGTCTGTGTCTGACGGGTTCTGCCACCACCATCTGGTCTCTAGCCCAGGCCTTTGCCACGTTCATCAGAAATGCTTTGTATTTCAATTTTGAATCAGGGTTTAGATTTTTGTAAACCAAAAATGAATTGAAAATGGCACAATTTATAAGGCACAAGGCAACTTTCTTTGTCCACTTTATTATTTTCCTAGGAAGAGAACAACAGGCCAAGTATTGATCGGTTCTATCAACTCCCTTCATGAACATATTATACTCAGAAATACAAATAGGCTTCTTTACTTGTCCATGTCTCCTTTGAACATCAACCATGCTCGAATTGTGAATTGCATAAATCATATTCACAACACGAGTATCCCTATCTCCAAAAAACAGTTCTGCTACTTCAGACACTTGGTTGGGTCCGATGGAATTTGTTTCACCCCTGGATTTCCAGTAAACTGTCCCAAAGTAGGCATTTTGTCTACTTTTCCCCATGTGGCTGTCCCCACAATTTTACTACCTGCACTTTCTTCAGAGCTACTTTCACTTTTATTGTCTGTGGACACAATTGTTTGTTGTCCCTTTTCACTGCCACTGTCTAAATCACTATCACTACACGTCTCAAAAGGAACGTCAGATAGCGTCGGACAACAAGTCAGAAATTTCGCTTGGTTTTGAACTGCTTTTGTCCTCATTGCACTACTAACATCCTGCCTGGTACATAAGAGCTTGAAGGGTCAAAGATCAATTTCCTTTGGAGGGGGAACCCAAACAGCGAGATCAAGTTACTGCCTACTAAGCAAACATTCCACAATAATACTATACAGTAGTCATTTCATTTGGGTGGCGCCAGAGAAAGGTATAGTGTGTTACAATCTAACATGTCCTAAAATCATAATATGCCACCAGTCCACCACGTTTAAAAGCGCTGGGCATAAAAATATGTCACCTGTCCACAAAGTGTTAATTTCCTAT